CCATTTCCTCTCCATATATACCCGCAACCTAGAAACCTTCACATGAAGTAGTCGAGTACATGAGCATCAGTCGTGGTGTGCCGGGAAAGAACAATACCGTCGCTCAGCTTCATGCGATCGCGGGCTACGTTCGGGGAGTCAGCGTGACGATTCTCGACTCTATTTACGAACGCGTTGCCCCCCAACAAGCGGAGGAGGCATGATCACGCGCTCGACCCTACGTCCCGCGTGCAATCCGCGTCGCTCGGGCTGTCCAGGACGAAGGTTACAGGAGTGAAGAGAAGAAGAAAAGAATGAACAAGCTATCTTCTGCCGACCTGCACGCCTCACGCGCGTGTCTTATCTTATTGTCCTTGGTCTTCGCACGCTGTGCCGGCTCCTACGTGAGGTGCGATGCGTCTTCGTCCGGTTGTAGAGTACGAGGTGAAGAGATTGAGATAGTGTGAGGAGGTCGGGGTAGTCTAGCGATGGAGACTGAGACGGAGCGATCATGGTTCCGAACACGAAGCGCGCTACCCGCGCTTGCAAGTCATCTTCCTGCGGATTTTGCCAGTGAACCACTTGGCCCTACCACATCGGATAAATTCATGAATACGATAATAATCGAATCTGAATCTCACGCAGTGCGTGTGACGCTCGGGTCACACTTTCGTACATCAGAGCAAAGAGCATCAGGAAAAATGCACAAACCTACATAGGTCTAGGTAGCCTCTGTAGGACCGCGAGGCACAGAGTCTTCCTACCGATTATATAGCACTTTGTAGTAACCCGGAATCTCGTGTCGACCTATATAGTCCCGGAGTGCGCGAGGACGGGAGTAACTGTAGTCCCGTAGTGCGCGAGGACGGTAGCATTGGAGGCTGTGGTAGGGGCCGACCCCCTCCACCATACCCCAAATATAGTCATATTGATCGCATGAGGAAATGCTCAAATGCATAGCTCTAGGTTTGAAATTCCACTGATAACAATTTCAATTGCAAGCTTTTGGAGACTTAAAGTACAATATGTGCTCCGCATACAAAGACTACAAGTTAGCGCTACTCTATGCGGTTCACAAAATGCGCAGGCTGCGGCTGTCACGAGTTGAAAATGGCTAGGCGCCGTACCAACTCGTGACAGCGGCGTGCGGTTCCCTCCGCCGCGGCGCACAGTTCTCCCTAGGTACAAGGCAAATATGAGCGAAATGCAATGTGCGACTGCGACGAAATTCGCACTTACTGGTGCCTCGCACTAAGCACGCACCCCACTGCATAGTGACATAGATACTCTAAGTGGTGGCCGATTGAATACAGCAATCCACGACTTACCTCCTGACACTGGTGTTCCGAGTCCGTAGCATGTCGCTTGATGGTGGTGGACTTGGGGAAAGGAACAAGGAGGCATCCGAGCCGTAGGAAGCCCTTTATTGCCTGCGCTGTCGACCACATGCCTGTATTCTCGATTATTGGCTAAATTACATATCCACAAACCATGCACATGCTATTGGAGCTTCCTCCTGTATGATACCATCGATTGGAATACTCGATAAGAAGACTATGGCTACAGGACCTACTGATGACTATGTAGAGAGTTATTTCTCGTGAGTACTATGTAGAAAAGGGTGTTCCTGAGACAAAATCACATTTCGCAGGTGCAGTACCATAACGAGTAATGCCATCAATGGGTACATGTGTATTCATGCGCGTAGGAATGCGATTGCTACTGATGCCTATGGAGGTCTACATAGGGCGCGTGATCTACCAAGAACGACATAGATCAGGTATTTCTACGAGCTGAGAATGCCATTTGCAGATGAGATAGCTGTGGTTTGAGGGAGAAAGAGGAGCTATATTACCCGACATCGACGCCGGCTTATAATAACACAGAGTGGGAGAGACAGGATTGCCATAACGAGGTTGAGATGGTCCAATATCCGATCACACGCATCTGAATATGGTAAACTACTATCCGGATCGGGATGAGAAGCCTTTACTAGGCAAAAGCAAGCTAGACTCAAATGTCAGATTTGAGTGTACAGACGACAGTTTCTCAGTCTCATGGGAATGTCGCCCTAGCCCGTCATACTCGCCTGCTGGCCCTTAGGACGACTTCCCTGATCGACCTACTTCGGTTGCTTCGTCTCCCCATCAATCTCATCTTCGCAAGCCCGAGAGTCGAAGGATGGGATTGATAGTACGTGCTGCTTTTTGCTCTGCATTAAGAAATACAAACGAAACATAAAGCGATAAAGGAAATTGAAATGGTCTTGACCGAGTTCCCTGTTCGCCGTTGTCCGACTGGATGTTGCTTCTTCGACTCTCGTTTCGTAACTCCAACGCGGTTTCTTCTACCACAACGGCTCACTCGGGAATGTTGCATGCCCTCATTACGTATGCACAACTATCAATAACAACAACTCGGTACACGAGTACAGTGGTACATGCTGCTGTTACGCCAGTCCGGGATTGGGGTCCCGGGGATGTCGGGTGTATAAGACATATTGGGGAAAGGTCGGCGCGCGGTTCGACGAGTGAGATGCGTGGGCACGAAGAGTCCCATACAGGCTGCTTTAAACGATATCCTGGGTGTGTTGAAACGCGTGTTCAGGAACGAGCTCGAAAGCTCGGCCGCGCGAGTAGCCGGGGCCGGAGGCCCTCCTCGTAGTGGCAATTGCTCGCGATATATGTACCGTACTACCGCACGCGATTGTCCCCTACGGGCATCGCTACGCCCGTAGACAAACGCGCCCGTCATCCGTCGCACCGTCGTTCCGACAGGGTGTTCAATCCAGCTTTTCTACGTGCACCTTGATCATCGTGGCATCAATCAATTTGAATGACGACCTAACAGTACACTGAGCATTCTTCTTAAACCCTTGTTTGATTCTCTTTGAAAATGTTTTGTCCCAGGTAAAGCCAAATGCAGTGCACAGATATACTGGAGGGGACTGTATGTGTTAGGATGCAGATGTTGTTATAGAGGCCGCACAATATGAAAGGTAGGACAACGATGCTAGATAAGGGTTATGAGGTCAAAACAGCTCTGAGTTAAAACAACTCTGAGCTGAAGAGCGGTACGTCAGGGATGTCAGGGAAGATTCGCGGGTGCAGAGGACAATGTTCTAACAGCTGGATCTCCGGCCTGGTTTCAGCAATGGTTTCCAGCACACCGTCTGCCACTCACTGCCGCGGAAGATACAGCGCAGAGAGCTTGTGTAGCACCAACAAGGGGCTCATCACGCTGTAGGGTGGAAGCCAATTGTCATAAGCAAATATGCGAAGGTGCATGGCGAAAATCTAGAGTGTCTCCCAGAAGGCACACTTTGATAACGCCTGATTGAGATCTCTCAGGTGCTCCTCACATTCCGCGGCTTGCGAGCGCGTGAGGAAGATAACCAGCGTATGGAGGTGCTCCGCCCGTATGCTCCGCATGAACACCGTCGTGTCTGGTGAAGATTGGTCTGTTATGATCTCAGGAGAACGCAGCGTCGGTATCTGACATGCCCACAAGCTTTCTCTTTTCCGTAGAGCATTTTCGTTCAAATGAATCACCAGGTTCTGAAGGTTTCTGAAGAGACCAAACGACTGGACGGCAACGTGGTGAATGAGGATAGTCGACGAGAAATCGCGAACTGTGCGACTGATAACTCGCAGCAGCCTCTTCATCTGATAGCGTAGCAGGTCCATCATAAGAGAGGTATACAGCCAATACTTGAGTCTGAGATGAAGAGTGGTGAGGGCGGGACGAGCGGCTCGAATCGTGTCTAGGATCACGCAGATTACGTCTTTGTCGCAGTCGTCGAAGTCAACATCGAGGGTGCGTAAGTTGCGGCAGATGGCGAACATCTTGATAAAGAATACCGCGTTCCATCGGAGCACGACGTCAGTCCTTGAGATTCGCACAGAGATAGTATCCACTCGAGGCCCGAGGAGCATGTCCACGCCTTCTGGTCCACCCACAGCATCAAAATGAAGGTCGAGAGTGCGCACTTCCGGTAGCAGGTGGTATTCCGAGACCTTGTGGATGGATAGATCGTGCAAGGTGGCGTAGTATGCGTCCTCACTGTGGATAGTGACATGCTTGATGAATCTCGCGTAGTGATCCAGACGTTGGGTATTGAGGGCCAGACGAACGTTATGATCTAAGCGATGTCGATCGACACCCTACAACGACATCAGTCATGTACATTTGGGGCATTGGAGAGCCGCACTCACTGACCATTATGCGGGTGTTCTTGTCGTCCTTGGGCACCTCGTCCTCAAAAAGGCAAACATTGTTGGGAGGCAGTGTGTAGATGAGCGGCGCAAGACCCGACATTGTCTCCCAGAGGACAGACATTGCTGGGACATGCAGCGAGCGACAGGCGACTGCTACGTTAGCCACGGAGCGTTTGCCATTCCCATTCGAATAGAGGGCACGCGCTATCAGGCTTACAATCTGGCTGGATAGCAAGCAGCGAGTGGCAGCCGTCGTCGCCAGCGTAGGCTCGGTTTCTACATATCGAAAACAATGCACCATCAGTCAGATCATCGAGACGACCGCATACATTGTGAGCAGCTTACGGTTAAGCATCATATAATTTGAATATGAATATGAGCGGCGTCGAAGCTCTAGAGCCACGAGAGGCGCTCGTGCTCAAGTTTATGAGATTGATGGGCGCTGGTGGCCACCGATCGGTATTAGCCACACTGACATGTGGCGTGCCGCCGCGTCAAGATGATCCGCGTTCGTCTTTCGCCTCAAGTTCCCTGCACGCATCTGAGACACATAAGCTACCCGCAATGACTCCGCCACCTTCAAATCACACACACGGGCCATCCGCCTTTATAGGTCATCGTTGCCTGCTCATCGCTGAGATATTCGATCAAATCGTCCGCGATGTATACGGGTTTGGTAGCGGTAAAGGACGTGCAAGTCTTTCTATATCCCTGCCATATGCGTTCTGTGTGAGAAACTACATAGCATTGTCCCACTCTTGAAGACTCTGCCGGATGACATCTACGGTAAATTTGAGATTTTCAACCCCCGGGAACCCCGCCGGAAGCTCAAATATGCTGTGAGACTCTCTTGGTTCCTACATCTATTACCACAGTTGACAATCGGTTTGACCATAGGGTATACACGATGCCTTGCGATACACGAGTCCTGCCACTATTCAGATTGACACATCGCGCCTCGAGCACTACTCGCGCTTCGTACGAGAACTCAACACCATCGAGGACTAGACAGAACTCGATACATTGGGGTATCTGGTGCCTCATCTTCCCAGCGACTTCTACCTCCTCCCACGAAACCGCGTCCTCAAGCTACGTTTCTAAGGGGATGACATGGAATGTTTAAACATGTTTCTTGGACCCGCACTCGTGAAGATGCATATTAAGATACGGCATTCCCTTTCTCACGGGAATGTGCTGTGTATGCACCAATCTCAAAGTGCTCCGGCTGAATATAAGTTGTGAAGATGATTCGCCGTATCACATCGGCGCGTTCGTGCAAATGGTGCAATCAATGTATGCTCAACTACGCGTTTTTTGTCTCTCGGCCAAAAATGATTCGAGTGATCGCTGCGAGTCCAAGTTCATGTCCAAGCCCATTGTCGACCTCCTTCGGACAATGTGTTCCCGCTCTCAAGAGAATTCTCGTTGGTCAAGATTCCAGTCCCTACAGACGGTGTCATCAAGCTCGCGACCAATTCTAACCTCCGCGATGAGTGGCTCTACCTCGACAAGACGACTCTCGAGCTGAGCCTCTTCGAAGGGATTCATCGCCCATTCTCCGCTTTGCGCGCCATGCGCTTCAGTGTAGAGCACCTGGCCGAACATTCCTTGTCGTTTCTGGGCAGCGTCAGCTCAGGCGTCCTCACGAGGCTCATAATTGATGTTGAGGATCTCAAACTTGACTCTGTGATGCTTCATGCACACATTCAGAAGCTGCAGCAATCTCCCTTTCGAGACACCTTGGCACTCTTTGGTCTGGCTTTCGAATACTCAGGACCCCGAGAGAAAATGAAATACAAAATTTTTAAACCGTTGTTCGATCTCCCTCGAATTTCAAGACTGTTTCTTCGATGGCCTTCAGCCGAGCTGGTTCGGGTCATCCACGAAAAGCAGCCGCACATCGAGCTGATTGATGAAGCCTCCTGAGTCCTTCTGGGATCATTGGAGGCGCAATATATGCGAGATATAACGATATTTTTGGAACCGTTGATCGCATTCTGCGGAGCTGTACCATCCTCCCTATACAGTTCTGTGGAACGCCTTGAATCCCGGGCCCATTGGAGATGCATTACGATTCATATCACTGATACACAATATCAACGATCAGCTGGCCGTGGTAGTTGAGTACAAAGCCAATGACTGTACCTGGGGAGACTAGTTCTGTGACGATCCCGATGCTTCCGGTAGTGATTACGGACGAAGGCACGAGACCTTGAGTGGCGGCGTTGAGTCACTGACAGTTAGCTCGGAAAGGTGCTCAAAGATGAATCACACGGAATGCGTTGGATAATGACGATTGAATAAGGAGTGATTCACAGGCCATTGGCTGTACTTAGCGGCGCAACGTACTCGTCAATTTTGTGGACATTTAAGACTCAAATGGAGTGCAGAAGAAGGAAATGATGTACCCTCTTCCCCATTCGACAGGCAATATTTCGACGCGCCGTAAGGAGCGCATAATGTTTTACAACTGAAAAGTGCGCTTCGTTTAAGTTTTGCTTCCTGCTTCCATATAACTCATGACACATACACTCACCTCCGCACAATGGGACAATCTCAGAGGCCCGACTGTAACCCTTGCGCGCCATGGTCACCCTCTATGATCGCCTTCATGATCGGCGCCGTAGCTTTCCGCGTCGCATCCGCATTCTTCTGCTTCCACACTCGCACACGCCAGCTCTCCCCAAAGCCTGCACCCTCCTCCACGCCCACTTTCTTCCACTTCTTGTCCTTCAGCCTCAGTTGCTCGCTCGCCTCCAGACCTCGGAATAGCCGCTCGCCAAGCTCCTCCCCGGCCTTATTGCCCGCACGCACGACCCACAGCTGCTCGCGGCGATGCTTTCCACGCCCGCTTTGTCCGGGCTTGTGATCATCGCGGAACGATGTCAGCACCCCCAGTGCAGTGAGCCCACGTTCGTCCATCCATGCCCGAGTGGCCCTCGAAAATTCCGAACTACCCTCAAGCGGGAGCCACGCCGCAAGGCCGACGGGCACAGAGGCAAGGCCAATGAGTACCGCACCACCAGACGCCCATGACGACGTGAGCGCGTATTCTTTGTAGTCTCGCCGTAGCAGGTCGCGCGTCCGCAGATGCGAGACCGATGCTTTCTTCGTCTGCAGTGTGTCGGAGAGCTCCCGTAGTGCGGGCAACTCGTGAAGTGAGGGCACGGGTGCAGCGATGAATGCAGCAGCGTCTGACAGGACAGGCGGTTTAGAGCGCGACGCGAGGAAAGTAGCCGCCCGGTGATCAATCTCAACTGCTTTCTTTCCGGGTAGAAGGCCAGAGGTATCAACCACGATCGCAGATAGAAGCAATGACGCCAGCTCAGGCGGGATATGGTCTCGGCACTTCTCTTCGAGATAGCATGCGACAATCGAGGCACAACTTCCGATGCCTGTCGTGATAATCCGTGGGTCCGCGGTATCCTTGTAGAAACCCTCATCCTCATGATGATCCACGACGGCCACGACACGAGCTCCGTGGTTTTCTTGCGTGAACTGGCCCTGCAGGCGGTTGTGATCGACGAGAGCGAACTTGGTCGAGGGGAATGGACCAGGCCTCTTGTAAGGAACGTCGTCAATGCACAGTAAATCAGCAGGGCTCAGCCCAGCAAGTGAGAGAGCATGAAGATTCTCAGCACGCAAATGCAGGTCCGTCCGTGGCGTCTGCATGAGCGCCACAGACGGCTCCTTCAGGATCGTATAGATATACCAGGCGTAAGCCACGGCACTCGCAACGGAGTCGAGGTCTACAAGATGGTGTCACCTTTATACTGAGGGTTCTACTTCGACCACATACCTCCCGCCTCGTTGCCCATAACTATCGTCCATTCCTGACCTTCGCTTTCTTTGACACCGTCGAGATAGGCCTGTTTGCTATTGCCCAGGAATCCGGAAAGAGGCATCGAAGGCAAATCTGCCGGTGATTTCGATACGTTTGACATGGTGTTAGCAGAGATGCGACGTCTGTTCTGGAACTTTGGGCAGCAAATTGGCAAGATCGTCGTCGCCCACAGATTCTTAGATAATTTGGCGCAGAAGATGGGCCGATATAGCATGCGTCTGTGTATGTAGGCTGCATATGGGGACCGCGGACGGATATGTATGACATTCACATTGTGGTTCAGAGGAAAGTCAATAACGTGGGCTTACGACCGAGAAGTTAACCTAAATGTGCCTCTAACGCAATTATTTAGGACAAGCCTATATATAGCATTTTCCGACAACCGGGGATTGAGTCGCCCAATGTCTTCCCTTCGATAGAGTGACCATCCTCCGACCATCAACAAGGGCGCTCCATTGTAAGCTGCCTAGGAGAGATTACTTCCCTTCTGGCCCAAAATGTTCATCGAGTCACTGCCCCCACCATCGCACCCCGCAATCTGAGATGCAGCAGAAATTTTGGATAAGTATATTTCGCAGCGCTTCATGCAAGGCGACATTTGCCTGAGCCTTTTGGTTGCTATTGTGACATTCGAGGCCTCAAATTTGAGCGGAACTACGGATTCGTCAAAATCAATGACTGGACTACTCTCCTAGAACTACAAGTCATTTGTCTTGTCGAATTGCCTCCGTCCCCAGGCTTTTTACGATTTCGAGGGACACATCCTAGCCCACCTTGGAGTTTTGTCATGGTAAGCCATCACTGCGCCGCAATGACACTCTTATGACGAACCATTTTAACACGGAGATCTCTCTAGATCATTTTAATTAAGCCTGTTGCAGGAATGATCCATTTACCAGATTCTTCCTTGGGTTAACTCATAGACAAGGTGTTTTCGGCCCAACGACTAGAAACTCGGCACAAAAGAAAGTGTCCGTGATAGTCTGTCAGTTTGTGAGTCATATGTCTGGTCTTGATAGAGATTGGTCGCCAGAGATAGTGTATAAATGGCCTCAGGTGGTGGGCCACCACCTACCAATGGTCTCCCATTCCCTGAGTCGGAGACGGTGTTCGAAGCCATTAAAGAGGAAATGGCCTGTGTCGCCGCTGAATGCATAATCCGCCTACTCTAACAAGGGCAAATGCTTGGTCTTGCGCTAGTGTTGGCAAACAAAGGCGCTAACGAGAATCCTGAGGCAGAGCTGCAGACGTATGTGGACTTAATAGAGGGGATGATTTACAGCTAGTGAGGATGAAAGAGGTTCATCTCCGTGCCACTGAAGAAAGCAGGTATACCGGGCTACAATGGCCGGTATCACATGGGCTGTTATCTGTATTGGAACGGTCAAGTCTTAAGGGATGAATCCGACATGATCAAGTTTGTCGTAGTGCCCGTCTGGACCAGCCTGTAGCCCGCGTTCTGACTAATGCGATATCGACTGGAGGGCTAGGCACACCTTGTTCGGCCTGCTGACGTGCGTAGAAGTGGAGCTGATAGAGTTTCACACATGACTGTCATACTGAAATCGTGGCGGAAGGTCGACATCATCTTGGATCCTGTTTCCATGCCAGTGCGCTGTTCAGCGGTAATCCTTGGCTGAGAAAACGCTGTGTTTACCGCACGCTCCCTTGGTAACATCTCGAGTTCATTCAGCTTAGGATCGGCGACCTTTACGTGCTCCAGCGAATCATGCTGGCACAGCGGTTCATGAAGGGGAGAATCCGAACGGTTTTAGAACGCATTGGGGATCAGACCGAAGTCAGCAAAACGACTGTTAGGTGGGGACACGGCATAAACACGTCTGCCAGAGTCAAGACTAAACAATGCGACGTACTCTGTCAGGTCTGGAAGATCAGACGTACACCCTGCTGACGTTTGGACCACGAGTGTATCATGCCGCTGGCGAACGCGACTTGATACTCGTGGCTCGCTTTGGAGAACCACGAGCCAGAGAGCGCGAGGGAGACCTCACCTGGCGAATCGGCTGCACCGTGCTAATCTGAGAATGTACAAGCATCATACCATATGTAGATTCATCTCGCTAGTATGCTTCTTGCGAATACTAAAGGCTTTCAACATAAACCTATCTCAGTCATCTTGGCCAGACCTTGGACATAGCTGGGGTCGATATTGTGATTGCGGCAGATATTGAGACGAAGGCCACCACGGGGTGTCTGCAAAGTGGATAGGACACTGCGATGGTGTCCGGAGACCGCAGACTATGGAGATGCATAAATGCAACGGACACTGACCACGGTGGTACTATCGCCCAACCGCGCTGTACAATGTCCCTTTCCAATGTCCCCTTCTTAGCTGCAAGCACGATAGGGGCGTACGGCGCCCTCACCCCACCATAACCCAAAGCGTCATCCACCGTGCATCCCAAAAATATCACAACGTACGAGCACATCTTTTCTTCGTTGGCACAATTCTATGCTGAGAGCTTCAAGGTCTGCATATATTCTGCATAATACTTCATGTGAAAAACTGATGGAGATCCATAGATCCTGACCAGTGTTGGGGGGTCAGTCGAAATGTGTGTTATTTTAGCAAACAGATTCCCCACTCACCCACTCGCGCGAAAGATCCTCGATGCCTTGGGGCCCGATCCGCTTTACAACACAAGCAGGGTCGGATTCTCACCCATATTCCTGATCAGGGCTAGCATTGCGACACTCGGCGGTTTCATCTGTTACAAATGCCATTACGAACTTGGACGCCTATTCACATACGAGGTTACGATTCAGCAGAACCATCAGCTCGTCACGACTGGACCGTACGCATACGTGCGCCACCTGAGCTACACAAGTATCATTGTATCTTACGTCGGGATGGGTGTCTGCCTGGCTAGTCCTGGCTCGTGGCTGAAGGAATGCAGGGTGCTGGATACGTTCGCTGGAAAGATCGCCGTGTGTCTGTATGTGGTATATACCTTGTGGGGAACCGTAACAGTCGTGGCTCGTACTTCCTTAGAAGACAGGCTGATGAAGGAACAGTTTGGAGGAGAATGGAACAAGTGGGCACAGAATGTTCCATAAAGGCTGATACCGTATGTCTTCTGAACTCCGTGGATATACTGGACACTTGTCAATTGATACAGATTGTCGAGACGACGAGAGCTTGCTCACATTACAACATTCAATACTCTCACCGTGAAATTTGGCAAGGATCGGTGCCGTCAATCCCACAGGGCCAGGCCGACTCTGATCACATCCCCGAGCTCTAGCACGTCATGGACCCGTACCACAGCAGCCTTCTGCTGGATAGCGCAGCTCACAGCTGCAGCAGTAGCCCATCCTCGCTCATCCGGTCTTGTTTCCCTTCCAGCGTACGGGCCTTCAGGGTCCTCTCGAGCCAAAATTGCGCCCAGGAATGACTTGCGCGACGTGCCTATCAACTGAGGATACCCAGCAAGCGGGTTGCCAGCGATGTCGTCGGAAGTGAGTACCTTTGCACCGCGCAGTAGCTCAAGATTGCCCTCGACGCTCTTGCTAAATCCGATCCCAGGATCGACCATGACGAGCCAACGTCTGATCCCGCCGCGACCCTTCACTGCGGCCTCTATCTTGTCGCCGAGCTCCACACGCACACCCTCCAGCACAGCGCCACGACCATTCGCGTCTGCAGCATACGCATAAGCCGAGTAGTCTTTGTTGGCCGATGCTTCCCCACGGGAATGCATAAGAATCACTGGGACCACGAGGTTACGCGCGACCGCACGCATGGTGAGGAAATGCTCCGCCGACGCTGTTGTCAGGGGATAGTCGGGGCCAGTGAATGCGTAGACGTCATTGATGCAGCTCGCACCTGCAAGCACGGCGGCGGACGCAACATCGGCACGGAAGGTATCCACGCTAATGAGCACGTCCGCTATCTCGGCGGCACTGCTGGCTGTGCCTTTCCCGTCCTCATCTAGAACCGCATTTCGGATCGCCTGGATAACCGGAACGACACGAGACACCTCCTCTTCCGGCGGCACATACTCAGCGCGGGGACGCGTTGAGTAGCCACCTACGTCGATGATATCCGCCCCGCCTGCCACTGACGATTTGACGTACGCGATAGCAGCAGGGATAGTGTTGTGCAAGGAACCATCTGAGAACGAATCAGGCGTCGCATTGAGGGTCCCCATGATACGTGTTTTTAGTTGCTCATTACGGTTGGAAGCTGAAGGCGGGAACTTCCAGTATGTCGCAGTGGGCGGTACAGGAGAAATGCTAGCCAGAGTGGGAGACGATGACCGCTCTCCTGGAGAGGTCGGAAGAGGATATCGCGGGAAAGCCATGACCTTGTACATCGGGTCTACGTTCTGGGGATGCGATGCCAAGAGCTCTGTAAGGAGTGACTGGATAGACTTGCCCAATGTCGGATGGACAAAGTCAGGCATCATACTGGACATGACGCGTTAATTCACCCTCGCGAAGGACATTATGAAGTACCTACTCGTTCACCGGTCGCAACACGAATTCTCGCTCAGCAATGCGAGGATGAGGTACAACGAGCTGATCAGCAAGGTTGTCGAGATTGGCACGTTCGGTCTCTGGCCTAGAGTCGATGACCAGCGAGTCATAGGTAAGGATGTCGACGTCGATGGCCCGCGGGCCGTTCCTGAAAGAAGTCACTCGCCCCACTGTGTTCTCGATCTCCTTGACGAAATGCAACAACTCCATGGGTTCCATATCGGTCTCGATCTAGAGGGACAACGGTCGATATATGCGCTCTGCTGGAGGCGAAAAGACGCACTATGCACGCGCAATTGATAAACCTTGGCTGGTCGGTGACGTACATCGGCGCGGTCTCGTACATGAAACTCGTGTTGATGACGGCGGCTTTGGGTGGACCATTTCCACCTCCAGTCGGCGCTTCTAGTAGACGCAGAGCAAGCTCTATGTTCGCGAAGCGATCCCCAAGGTTGGCACCCAGCGCAAGAGCCGCCGTGTGTTTGTACGGTATAGTGTTTCTCGGCTGCAATCCATCCAATAGGGAAGACAAGGACGGATGCGGGACTATGCCGAGAAACCCAGCTTTGGGAGTAGCCCTTGGCTGGGAACATACGGGTTCGAGACCATCTGCCTTCGCGTGATGCTGAAAGTCACGTAAGGTGCGCGAGATCTCTACTTCTGCCGCCCGAGCGAGAGGCAGAGCGCTCGGCTTTGCAGCGCGTACGGTTACACTGTCGGTATCATTGCCTGCTTCCAATAGCGCTGTGTGAGCTACGGATGATGCTAACGCCTCTAGAGTGAAGCAGGAGGAGCCTTGGACGTGCTGGACGACATCATTCAGCGACATTGGATATGTAACGGTAGATGTGCTCACTTACATGAAACACCGTCCGCGCCAAACCACGGAAATCGAATGGTCGACTATACCTCTTCAAGCGCGTGAGGATGATGTCAAAGCAGACTCGTTGCGCTTCTGCACGCTCGCAAGGATTAATTCCGACTATTGTCTGACACTGGAGATTATGAATGAGGTATCGCTCCCGTGATGGTCCATGAGCATCCCGCGTTTTCTCGCACTCAATTGCTATCGAGTCACCATGCAGCAGCGTGTGCGGTCTTGTTATCATGAGAGACAATCGCTCCAAATTAGCATACAGCTCGAAGCAGCACTCCGCGACCCGGTCGGACAAGACTTCCAGAGACGGTATTGGAGATGAACCACAATAGCGAGCCAGAGATGTTGAAATAGCAGAGTAGTCGATAGAGTGCGAGAGTTCGTCAGCAAGGGCCGTTCTCCGAGTATCGTGAACGAGATTCAGCGATACCAGGACAGGTTGCAAGGTTTCTTGGTTCGTCACGTCTGCCGGCCATTGCGCTCCGTCGGAGAAGGGGACAGTCAGGGTTATATCCTTGACACGTATAACATCGCAGGGTGCTGTTGAAGCTTGCAGGCAATAATAAGGAGTGCCGCCTTCCTGCGACGAGCCCTGACTGAGCGCATATATTGAGTGATTGGAGACTGAAATGCAGGCCTGGTTTCAAACCTGAAAGTTTTGGTATTCATATGAGCATTGGGCCTGCTTAGGAGCGGTAGAGACCTATGTCTCTGTTTTGCTGCGCTCGATGGTCGAGAAAAGTGATAGAAAAATGACGAGTGCCGACATCGGTGGCTTCCACTCAGTCTGAGGAGCAAAGGCATGTGACGGCGCTCGCTGCCTCTCATGGATCTCACCAACTCCCTCCAGAAGCTCGCCGGCTATCGACCTCGGAAGACACAAAAGTCGAAGGAGACATACGACAAGGGTCTGATATTACTCAAGAATGGCGGGTATTCCAGGCAGGGAGACGAGGGTAAGCAAGTCAAAGTGAAGCGAAGACGTGGCTTAAACGCGTCCGTTCAACAGGCTGGGAAACGCTAGAGAAATTGGCCCTAGCAGCATTGGACCAGGGAGACGTAGAGATCGCGGATGTGCGTATGTTCAACTACATTCTGTCTGCTCGGCCGTTATGAACTCATCGGAAGTGATTTCTCTGTCGTGGTCCGAATCGCTAGCAATGCCTTCAACTCATCGTCAACAAGTTCCCTAATTCACCACGCGTAGATGTCCTGCAAGGCATCCGAATGGAAGCGAGTGAGCCTCCGGAGGTCGCGCTCAAGTTCTACGATGAACTTCTTGAATCAGATTCGTCGAACGCTGTACGTGTAACCTGTCTGTACCGGTCGGGTTTGTGTTTGTTGACTAGTTGTCCTACTACGTAGGCTGTCTGGCGGAGAAAAGCATCAGTGTTAAGGGACATGGGCAAGATTGACAAAGCCGTCGAGGAACTTTCTGCCATGCTGGACACCTTCTACACAGATGTCGAGGGCTGGATCGAGCTCGCCGACATATATGCCTCGTGTGAACAGTGAGTCCCGGCCAACTGTCCTCTCGTCACATGGGGATAACATCCTGTATTAGGTATACGTATGCGCTGCAATCAATAGCGCACGCTCTCCTACTTGCTCCACAGAATACCTTTTATTTCATCCATTATGCGGAGATAGCATATCTTGCAGGCGACATCACCCTGGCGCTGAAGATATTCCTTGTCGCAGTTGATATGACAGACGATGACGACGGGCCCGTCCCTCCCCAGGATTCGATACCCGTTGGATTGACCTTACGCGCCTGGTATGGCGTGAAGCTCGTACGCTTTCCCATTACTCGCGAGGAATGTTCAAGCTGATATCATAATTCTTCTACGCTAGTGTACCCGACGACTTATCACTGAACCGCGGCTGGTATCATCCTCAGCATCTCAGACAGCAGCCCCAAGCGCTGCGATCCTTTCCAATATCGACGAGCTCTCCGCCGAGCGATTACGGACGGCGTACATGAACATGAAGGGCGAGTCAGCGCCTAAAGCAGAAAAGGAGCTTCTCACTGCGCTCGCAGTCATTATCCAGTAGTGGCTTCGTTCAGCTTTGCACAGTTATATTTATCTTGCCATCCTGCTCGTTTGTCAGCGGAGTTTGGGTATCCCATCGACTTACAATTCAGGACGACTTACCCTTCCAACGATCGAACCACGTAAGAGGTCGCGATAGGTACGTAGTTCGAACGCTCAGACAGCTGCCCTCCACGGGAAGTGTTAAGGCTTGACATCATTGTCGGTCTTCGGTCTTGGGTGCCGTAACAGCACTTGTCCTCCTATCGCTGTTTGGCATCTATCAACACGACCGGCGGCCTGTATTCGGTCCTGCACAGCATCGCCTACACCCACTCGGACATCGAGTGGAGGACATCCGGGACACCGAGTGGGAGGATACCTTGTCGATCAATCATTGACTCCAACTGTCGGCGGCTATGTGCGCACGATCGACGAAGTTGCTGAATCATAGTTACGGCGGCAGCGAAACACCCTAGAAGCGGGGTGTGATCGCCTGCCAAGCATGAAGCGTAGGACTGCTATAAAACCCAGTGCGATATGAGGTGAGACGAAACAGTTTCACTGCCTCTTCGCATATCACTCTGCCATGGCTTTAACGTCAGCACTCCCCAAAACATATAAAGCCGGTGCGTATCTAGTACTCTCCCCATTCGTAGTACCCGTGGCTGATATTGTCATATCAATAAGCTGCGCGGGACCACACGAGCCTTGGGAAGTAATCACAAAGGAGCTGCGTACGCCCGCGCCGAACGAGGTGCTCTTGCGAGTGCACGCCTCTGGCATATGCAACTCGGACCATTTCGTCGCGGAGGGGACTTGGCCAGGGATCTCGTACCCGCGTATTACGGGACACGAGGTTGTCGGGCGCATCGCTGCCGTCGGGTCAGCACTTGAGGGTGACGCGCGGTTTAAGGTTGGTGCCCTTGCCGGCGCAGGATGGAACGGGGGATATTGCGGGCGTTGCGAGTACTGCAGACAGGGCGAGTACTGGACGTGTGCTACGGCCGCGGTCACGGGCTTTACGTTTGATGGCGGACATGCCGAGTACATGTACGTGCCAGGAATGGGTGCGTTGTCTTGTCCATTATTTCTTTCCACGTTACTGACAAGGTTGCAGCTATCGTCAGCCTCCCAGAAGAGGCGCTGCAGAATGCATCATACGCTGAGCTCGCGCCATTGCTTTGCGCTGGGTGCACTGCGTTTGGCGCGATCACGACAACGAAGTGGAAGCCGGGGGATCTCTGTTTAGTACAAGGCATTGGTGGTTTGGGACATCTCGCTGTTCAGGTCAGTGTGAACATTTACAAAAACGATGGATACGCTCAACCATTGCTCTAACAGTTCGCAGCTCGATGTGGATTAAAGGTGCGTCGGTAGTCATCACCGCACCATCTTGTAGTGACGCCATAAGCAGGTCTACGCCGTCTCATCCGGTATCAAAACGTGACCTCGCGCTCTCGCTCGGCGCGCACGAGTACATCGACTCAAGCACGACCGATGTCGTGAGCGCAATCCAAGCACTCGGTGGTGCCCAAGTCATCATATGCACCGCGCCCTACGCGAAACACATCAGCGCAATTCTCCCGGCAGTGGCAAAGAATGGTACAATCACGCTTATTTCAGCCGCGACTGACGGGCCAGTGGAGGTGTCAAATGTGCTTATGAACATGAATCGCGCGACGCTGCACGGGTTCGCGTGCGGGTGCGCGCCAGATACGGAACAGTGTATACGGTTCTCGACGCTGCAAGGTACGTTTTGCTGCTGTGCGATCTTGGAGATGACTTTGATTTATTGGTTCTGCCTAGGTGTCAAACCGATGGTGCAGGAATTTTTGGTGGAGCAATTTACTGATGCATACACGGCGGTAATGGCAAACAAGGCGAGATTCCGGAACGTCGTTGTGTTCCCTTAATTACCTGTTTTCGTTGTGTATTAGAGATGTACTTCCAATGATAATCGAGGAAGTGGCTAATCTTGAGCCTTGCACCCGCGTACTGCGCAACCGTGCAGCGGCTAGCTAACCTTAGCGAACCGCAAAGTGTGTCCATTTGGGCTAAACCATCATCTATCGAATTGCATAAGATATATCCGCCCGTAATTTGAGTGTGACTCGCTTGTCGTAGAATGAAAACACATACATCACTTTCGCCAGAATGACCAGAGTTTTCAAAAAGCTTCTGGCATACAGGAAGACCTGAAACATCGCTCATAAAAAACACATTATTCAGGTCGTCATTATTTTCCTAACTTTGCAATTGAAGGCGAACAGCAAATGAAGCAATGTTGGGCTGAAGGATCCTTACGGCACGACGTAGCGTCCGAACAAAGGCACGCAACAATGAAGTGATGAATCTAGACAATGAGATTCATTGCATTCCATAGACATGAAGAACACACGTTAATCATAGTCGACGCTTTGAAGGCCAAGGAGACAGGACGACTTGACCTATAATGGACACCAACACATTCATTCGCTACTGAACATCACCCACAAGGTGGCCGCCTGGCATGAGCAGCGGGGGAAAAACGGTGTGCACTTATGCGACGCTAGTCGTGCTGAGGTTCAGCTGAACAAGCACAGATCTCGCAGATCGTCCGACAGCAATCGCCCTTTATATCATAGTCATGGAACGGGCATAAGTATGCGTGCGGAAAACATAGGCGTAAAGCGAGGATGCGAATGATACAACAGCGAAACACAACTCCTCAGTCAATGGTGCTCCCAGACCAATGTCCCGGGAGAAGGCGGTGGAGGGAGGCTCCCGGTGAGGACGCCTAATGCGTCGTCGAGAACAGGCCCAGATTAGCCTTTTACTTCTCGGGATTGGGGTTCCTGAGGGAGAGTAGATTAGTATCGGAAGAACAGATCGAGGCATAACGGAAGGAGGGGGTGAATCAGATAGGAGCGAAAGACAAGATGCTTGTTTATCAACATGATGAATTCAGTGTGAACTATGCAATGAGTTGGTGTATCATCCTTGAAGGCACGATTGCGCGCAGTAGCAGAGCGAGACTAGACAGAATGTAAGACTCACATTCTCCGCTTGCCGCCCGGAAGAGTCGTGACGTTCACGAATCTGCGCCCGCTGTGAGTCAACGCAAGCGACGGACAACGACATATCTACGCACCTGCGGTTGTAAAGGATGCGCTTCTTAGCACGGCCCTTGGGCGTCTTCTTCTTCTCCTGCTTTTCGACCTTGGGGGTCTGCGACTTGACTTTGCCGGCACGAGCAAGAGATCCGTGAACTATACGAGCAGCACGAGGGGTCTTGTTAACACTATACTGGATTCCGCATAGCGTACACGCACCTTTTCCCATGTTGTCTTGAGGTGGGGGACCTGGTCGCTGTGGAGGGAATGAGAGGGACGCCTAGTGCTGTACAGTCAGCGATCTAAGGTTTGATCCGGTGACTTATGTCAGCACTTTCCCAGCGCTTGTGCTGATCGGCTCTCGCCTTTGCTAAACATTTTGTGTTAGACGTCTTGCTGCTCCTTTGATTTTGAGTTGGATCTTGTTTGTCTCGTACCCATCCCCCCGTATCCGCACCCCACCACCGCGAAAAGGGGGTCTGGGGCAGTTAGATAGGCGCACCCCCCCTGGCTTAAGCGCCCCACAAGCGCCGGAATGTAACGGTCACAGGTTGCTTCTGGTACCTAGAAATGATGCGATCTTTGATCGATTTCCAAATCCGGTACTCACACCTAGCAGGTCGTGCTCGAGACTGGTGGACGCTACATTGTGGTCTGCTACAGAATCTCAAGTTTACTTGTTTCAAGCATCCTAGATAAGTCTCATATACTATATCCACCAGCAACCTAAGTATTCCATGAGATATACCCCTCCAGTAACATCATGAGGATGCCACAGGTACTGAAAGGAGAAGTTGCAGCTTTCATTATGATGCTTTCCACATGATACTTCATTTGGTCATAAACTTACAGGCTGAGTTTGGCATAGATACTTTTTGTGTGGCCTTTCAAGTATCTTACAAGCTCAGGTATGCCTTTGTTGACACTTCCTCGAGCACGACCTGCTAGGTGTGAGTACCGGATTTGGAAATCGATCAAAGATCGCATCATTTCTAGGTACCAGAAGCAACCTGTGACCGTTACATTCCGGCGCTTGTGGGGCGCTTAAGCCAGGGGGGGTGCGCCTATCTAACTGCCCCAGACCCCCTTTTCGCGGTGGTGGGGTGCGGATACGGGGGGATGGGTACGAGACAAGATCTTGTACTATGTTGCTCATATTCATGCCGGCCTTGCAACTACTTGTGCTTTCACACGAGCTCTTAGAGATGTGAATTATTGTCCGTTGGATTGAATCTTGCCATTTGTGCAGAAACCTATGTCGGTTGTCTACGCTTGCCCGTTCTTCTTGAGTGGCAGAAGAATTTCGATAACATCTTCAGCAGGCCTGTTTCGGCTTGCTTCATTCTAGAGGGAAGGTCCTTCAAATGATGACTGGTTAAGTATTGAAACAGTATGTCGACGACATCGTGACGTAAATTGTCGTCCGGCTTCTGAGGAAGCCCTGATCCATGCACTGAACCGTCCTGAAGTTGTCCATTCGTCGATCCTCTTACTACGTCTCGTAACGTGTGGGATCTGGTTGACGCGCCGATGCCCTCATTATGGCGAGAGAGTACATGTTCCATTCAACGACGCAAGACTACATAGTGTTACCAGCTACTTGACAAGATTCCTTGCATCGTCAGTTTTTCTTCGTTGTCATAACGTGTCCTCGCCTCGTGTTTGACTGGGAGGAGAGCGCTTATGCTAGCGCCGAGCTGGTGCCTTCCATTAATAGCATGAGATATACTGAATATGGCAGGAAGCGGTCTGCGATGTCAAATTCATTTACTCGTCACGTTGTCGCTGCACAGTCATGTGCAAAGGGTCCCAGTGGGCTGCTTCTCCGCTTGCTATCTTACTCTCCTAAGTCGAGCCGCTGCATATTGCTCGCTACTTACAAGTAGCCACATCGACATCAAGCTGTACGACACATGAGATCAGATATATACATTCCGTCAAACATGCAGTTCTCGGCTCGGAAGCAATGCAGAAGGGTTGTCACCATATTGACTCTAATACCCCTATAGGCGGAGCCGGCACTTAGTATCCGAATTGGTAATAGGGGTGTTCAAATCTTGTCGCTCGGCGCTCGCTCATTCACTTGCGGGGCGCCCGCCTGTTTTGGTAAGTAGTTCTAACCCCGACTGATTCCTCAGCCACCGCGATCGACAGCGACACGGCGAGCTCCAATCGCAAGTCTCATAGTCACGCAAATACTACTTAATACGGCCAATGTGCGGCTTTGTACAAGACTCTAAGGAATCCAAGGAATGATCTAGACAACTGTGACTGCCTGCAGTTGCAAGATATGAACTAATTGTAGTATATCCTTGAAGTTTGAAGATTGTTTCTCTAGAATACATCTGTGTCGGATTCTTAACGTCCGCGGTCGCGATCCACGCTCCCTACGTCAATCCGATATTGTAGCTCATTCTCTGTCTACCTCCACGTGATACCTACTCTACATACTTATACCTCGCTCCCCCGCTCCCCACTTCTCTCCCCACTTCTCTCCTCACTACGGCTGAGGTATGTTCGTCTCGTCTTTTCCCCCCGTACCAGTACTGATACGAAGTTGTAGACTTCAAGCTGAACACATCGCGCATGATGGCATAACATTGGCTGGGTCGCGTCGATCGCGGGTGGTGGAGGGATCAGTCGGGGTTGGAAATACCTGCCAAAAAAGGTGGGCGCTCTGCGAATGAACGGGCGAGCGTCAACAATTGAGCACCCCTAATAGGACTACTGTGCTGATTACAAATCGGGTTTACCGCGGGTTTACAGGAAAGCGAACCTCAATTGAACCACTGTTGTCTACCTTGTTCACCGACGTCGCTTTAATGAGCCGCAGCGGCGACTTGGATTCGTCGTCTGCGTAATCTTCCATCTCGCTTCATCCTGTACTTCTATCACTTATTATCAGACGTGCCCCTTTGTGATTGCAACTACCATGGCACCATCAGCAGCACCAGCTGCTCCCGCTAAGAGGGCGTCCAGCCCAGGCTCAGACAGGCGACGAGTTGAAGACGACGAGGTCAGACCGTATGTCATTGTGAGCCATCTAGGGACGGGGAGCTTTGCGACGGTATACAGAGGATACCACGAGGTACGTCGCTGATATCTGCGTTTGTCGGCGACTGCTTACCCTGATGGTCTCGTAGCAAACACATCAGCAGGTCGCCATCAAGACGGTTAGCAGAGCAGGCCTGAGTCCGAAGCTCTTCGACAACCTGCAGGGCGAGATCGAGATTCTAAAGAGTCTGCAGCACCGGCATATTACGAGGCTGCTCGACATTGTGGTGCGTCCTTCATAGCTATGTAGCATAGCCCTCCTAGAATATTGCCCCCTCAGCGCGCCGAGCGGAACATCTACTTGATCATCGAGTTCTGTGGTGGAGGCGATCTCTCCAACTACATCAAGAAGCGCGGCCGGGTAGAAGGGTTGGAATATGTGCCATCGCCGGGGGCTGCCCCAACGTACTATGCGCATCCACGGACGGGCGGCCTGGACGAAATCGTGGTTCGTAGTTTCCTGCGGCAGCTTGGTGAGTCACAATGCCGTTATCTAGCGAAAGCGATATGCCTATGTGTCGCGTAGCTCGCGCACTCAAGTTCCTTCGGCAACGCAATCTCATTCACAGAGATATCAAGCCGCAGGTACGAGGCTGCGTCTGTACGATTGAGTGGCCTCACCCACGTTCACGCAGAATCTACTCCTGAACTCTCCTGCTCCCGATGACCTGGCTCGGGGTCATCCACTCGGTGTGCCTCTGCTCAAGATCGCGGATTTTGGGTTTGCTCGACCGCTCCCCTCTGCAATGATGGCGGAGACGCTATGCGGCTCACCGTGAGTGATTGTTGCTGGTGCGTTGGTGAGATGCTGACGGCCTGCAGGCTTTACATGGCGCCAGAGATCTTGCGGGGTGACAAGTACGATGCAAAGGCAGACCTATGGTCAGTGGGCACGGTGCTATACGAGATGGCGGTCGGCAAGCCGCCATTCCGTGCGTCGAACCATATCGAGCTGCTGAAGAGGATCGAGGCGTCCAAGGGAATCAAGTTCCCTGACGAAGACGCACAAGCGCAGGGGCGCATCGCGAATGGGGAAATACGACCTGTACCAGCTGATATCAAGATGCTCATCCGCGGGCTACTGAAGCGCGTTCCGGCGGAGCGGTACAGCTTCGAAGATCTGTTCAAGAGCACAGCCATGGTCAAGTCGAAGTTCCCTCGGCCTCGGAGCGAGCCCCCGGCGCCGATCGACTATGACGAATATGGTCGCCCGGTCATTCCGGAGCACCACCGAGTTATACCGCCCGAGGTGCTAGATCCGAACGCGATGATTCCGGCCAGTAAGTTCCACTTTCGGCGGCGTGAGGTGGTTGGTTCGCCACAAGAGGGACCGTCTCGGGCGAGGTGAGCCGCAATGCCCGTCGCCGTGTCCGCTGGCAACATCTAAATGCACGATAATGGTAGCCCCGCAGCGAATGGAAATGGCATGGCAGAGGTCGTGAGGACATCTAGTGCGTCCCCCCGTAGCGGAGCATCGGGCCTCCCCAAGCCACCCCCGGCAGAAGCGTCTGTCATTCCGGGGGAGTCGGAGGAAGATGGGCTGCTCCGGCGCGAATACGTCCTTGTCGGAGACGGGAAGGCGGTCGAGATGACGAAGGCGGTAGACGGTAAGGTGTCCAGATTTGGCGCGACTGACACAGCTCCCAATGGCCTTTCTGCATCACCTATAGAGATCAGCAACGCTCGCCGGAGACCCTTGCGGGACCTGCGAATGCAGCCCACGCCTGCGCCACTCGTGGAGGATGCGATGCGAAATAACTACCCCGGCCCCGACTCACCATCGCCATTGGACGCGAATACGACATTCCCTCCTCCGCCGCATCCGAACGCGCCACCGATGGCGGCATCACCATCCAGCGCAGGTTCACGCTCGGGCGCAAACGCACTTACTCGTGCGCTCAGTTTTGCGTCCAAGAAGCTTCTCGGGACGTCAAACACACGGGCATCACCGTACTATCGGGAGTACGTGCAGCCGTCGGCGTCGCCACGGAAGCAGTCGATACTGTCTGGGAGGACCACCGGACTTGGCCTGCAAATGGGTGGCGAGGGCGATCCGATGGAAAACCAGCTGTTAGAGTCGCTGGAGCAGCTCGCGCAGAAGACGGAGGTCCTCACGCATTGGGCGGACGAGATGTACGAGTATGTGAAGGCCATCCCTCAGAGTGAGCATCTGGATGAACACTGCGTTTCGAATTGTGAGCTGACAGAAGAACAATTTGTAGAACCTCTCCCCGATCCGAGCAAATTCACGCGTCGCGAGGGCGAGCCCGAGCGGCAAGCCGCGAAACGCAAGAATGCGGATGTCCAAGCAGAGTACAATGCGATTACCTGCGTCGCTCTGTATATGCTCCTCATGGGGTTCTCGCAAAATGGCGTCACGAAGCTGGTGAACTACTACGAGCATCTGCAGATGCGTGACCCGGAAGGGGGAGAGGTCAGCGAGGGGTTTGACGAAGGTCAGTGAAACGTCGACATCATTGGGCCGAACTGGTGTCTGAAATGCATGTGTAGCACTGATGTGGTTCGAGGATCACTTCGCCAAATGCCATGCTAGGGCGAACTTGGTCAAGACGTGGTTACCTGCTCAATACACGGGCCCGCCGACGTTCTTGGATCAGCTTGTCTACGATCGTGCTCTTATGCTGGTGAGTTAGGTTTCTTCGCAGATAAACGTCATCTCACCATATTTTAGAGCCGTACAGCTGCGCGCAAGGAACTGCTCGACCAAGCAACGTCTCCTGACGAGTGCGAGAAGCTGTATGAAGAGTCCTTGTGGTGTCTGTACGCCCTGCAGGACGATCTACTCCAGAAGGACAACCCGTTCACGGAGGAGGACCGAGCGACAATATCTACCTGTGCGTATACCTCATTTCCGGACGTCGCATCCTCGAGCAGTCTCCTTTCATATTTGTACTGATACAACTTATAATGCGTCTCATTTTGTAGGGATCAAGAGGACGAAACTGCGGCTCGTCAGATGTCGAGTGCGGATGGGCATGAGCGATCGCGATCGTCTTAAGGATGCTCGATTAGACAAGAACCTGGATGACGTACAGCGTGATCCACCTCCATGGGAAGTTCCCGTCCTGGGACCTCAGCACCTGCCCGCGCAGCAATAGCCTATCGCATCAGGTTTGGGCTGCATACATCAACTCTTTCACCATGACATATCTCTTAGACATCCTTCCTCTTGTAGTATATACGTTCTCTGTGCTAGCTTTGCATCGTCGAGTCTGTTTTCCCTCACTCTGGATCCCCGCATTGTGTAACATGGACCATCATTCATCAGTCTACTGATTATCACGATATATATGCATTGGTGTACTGATATATTATTACTCATACAATGTTTCTAGTGCTGTATTGCGCATCGTCACCTCTATCACAATCAATTTCTGTTTGCAGTGTTATATGTCAAACCCCCTGTCCAAATCTTCCTTGAGGAGATCGCGCATCCCCGGAGGCAATGTTGGTTCACCCCTGGCATCTTTGATGTATCCTTGAAATAGATGGATATGAATCAAGGGTGCTCTATCATGGGGCACAAGGAACCAGACATACGGAAGGGCATCTCGACGCTCTCTTTCTCGTTGAAAGTGATCGTGGGATGATCCTTATGGCATTGCGTTAGTATATGGTGGACATTTTAAACACGCGACCACGTACAATGTAGGGAACTTTCGTGAGGGGGACTGCAACGTGTGCATCGCATCGTTAGCAGAACAATTATGTGATGAAATGTTCTTACTTTTGTCTTGCACTACAAGTTTGGTGACACCGAGAGCGGTGTCTGTCGTCATCTGGACAGGTCCCAGATGCCGAGTTGGGAATCCCAAGACCCGCAGCTCTGACGTTCGGTCGCGTGGTGGGTCGTCGCCTGTTCGTAATTGGGATTCAGGTCCAAGCGCCTGTGCTGAAGTACATACCAAGGATTCCCTGCAGGTCAGTCGTCGGTATCAGCATCGCTTCGTAGACCTTGTTGTCGACATAGAATTAAGGAATCTAAGTACACTTACACCAAACAAGTACCATGAAAACGTGTCCCTGTCATCGGGGGACAATTCGTGCTCGGCTTTGGGGTCTAGTAGACAAACTTTGTCCATGGGCACTCCCGAGGCCTTCATGAGCTCCAGTACCGACATGGTGTGAGAAGAAACGTCGGCAACGCCAGTGTCATTTTTCTCTCCCGCGACAAGCGTCAAAAGTGCATTGCAAGATGACTGTGAGAGGTGCGTGAAGTGGACGTGCCCTTCGGAGCCCGCGAGCTTACGCATATGCTACGAGAGAGTTCAGGCGGCCAAATTTAAAGCATGGGAGAAAACATGATACCATATATTCGAGCTCAACCCATCTAGGAATTGATTTCGAGGACTCTTCGTCCTCTTCCATATGCTCTGAGCAGGATGCAATCAGTGATTCTAACCACTGTTGCATAAGGCGTGAAAACTTTACCTACGACGTATGCCACTGCCATAGAAATTGCTTTGTCAGTTCAGGACCTGAACTAGCTTGCCTTGAACCTGTCAACAAGATGCGAAGTAGGTACCCCACCTTCATACATGCGTGATATTCCGTCAAGCCCCATATTAGGCAGATAATATTTTAATGTGCTGCACTAATGGGGTAGTGGTAACCTTGGTCGTTGCCACCGTTCTTCAAAATCTCAGATTGAAATTGTTTGTCCGGGAGGTCGCTGTTTCGACCAGCCGCGAGTTCGATTCTTGCTTAGTGCATGTCTGCATTGTACATGCGTAGATTGGAATTTTGATTGTGGGCTCATGTACTGTACATTTTTTATTAAATCACGAACCAGCCTACTAATCTAGTGGAGGTTAATCCCCATTTCATCTCCAAGATTGATGATACCCGAAAATGAGACAAAGGGCTCAAGTCAACATCTTACATTGCTGCGTATACTGATACAATGCCGTCCAGGGCAAGGCTCCATACAAGTACATGAAATGTCATGATTACACTTTCGCAGGAATGAGGGAAGTCGGTAATAGCATCCTGGTCAGAATTATTGGTATGTTTGTGATTGTGACGTCACCTACGATAACTCACCAACGCCAACGCCGTCTTACACGGTGTTGAGGGGGTCACAAACGCGTTGACGTGTCGTGTCGCACAAAGTAGCATCATCATCCATGAATTCATCGTCATCGAAAAGTTCATCGTCGCTGTCATATCGTTGTTCCGCATCTTCGATCTTGATGTGCCACGCCTGGCGTTCAGCATCAAATGAAGGATAGGCGGTGTCAGAGATCGTGCAGGCAAGGGATGGAGTATTGCCCTCCTCATAGCGATGGGTGGCATCACGCAGATTGAAGAGCAGCCGCGATATTAGGACAGACGAAAGGCTGTTAGCAATAACGTCAGAATCGAATTGGATAGTGGAATTGCCGCACTAACGGTAGGATGAACGCCGTCAAGTTCCCGATGAGCTGGAAATCATGTCGTATGTGAGTGTGAAGAGGGACATTCAATGTAATAAAAGCGCACATGATTCAGGTAATAGGTTACCATGTCGATGACGTTCAGCAGGAGGAGCGCTCTGAGAAGCCCGAATCAATTGCGAGCGTCGCAGCTGCATCGTCATAACGCACATGAAATACAGGGACCCTGAATGAAGATAGGTTTTAGGCGGGAGAGACGTTGTTATTCACTCATAACTCTCACCGTCGCGAAGCATGAGCCACGACAGACCACGCCCGGAAAGCTGAGTTTCTCCTGAAAGCACACGAACTGTACTGTACATGTTGCTCCATGTCACCAGGATTACCGTCGCATCGCACGCTATCGCACATGCTCGTGTTGCAATAATAACTGTGCATCTGGTTAGCCAAGAATCCAAGGACACTGTCCGCAAACCTCACTTCTAAGACATGGCGTGAGCCTTGATTGATGTCAAGTATGGATCAGGGAGACACACCTGTCTTCCTCTGTGGTAGACAGCTTGAAGTTGCCTTCACAGTACGCGATCCCATGGTCGACTGAGAATTCGACGGATACTCTGGAGAATCGGTACTATAGTCCGTGAGTATCAGCAAGGAAAGAGTAAGGTCTGATGTCGTAGTATTGACCAGGTTTGTGCCTACGGGTACCAGCCCGAAGGCTAGAGCAACCCCTGCTAAGCACCAGCTGCGATTGCCCGCAAGGTAAGTTCGAAAGGCCGACACAGCTGATCAAGGAATTTGAGTGCTTTTACGTCCACACGTAACATGATAGCTCACCTGCGGTAATAGCTATGATACACAGCTGACAGGATACGTAGAAACCGTATGCGGCATTGCAACTGACAACTCAAATTTCACTGCACCGTGGTTGCGGGACGATTGACTACTTACCTCTGAGTTGAACATCAGAGAACCGCTCGTCTCAGATACACGTTACGCACCATCTTATGTTTCCATGGCAATACTAGCAGCAGACCCGTTATTCCGAGGGCCAGAAGCGTCAGACGATTGAGGTAGAAACAGATTGCTACGATAAGTCTACGGTATCCCCATTTTAATCGTATCTCATCACCCGACGTGAGGATATGTTCGTAGACAATGAGAGCTAAGCGAATGTTCATGAGTTACGCAGGTTCGATTCATCTAGATTAACACATGCCCAGTATGGCAACGAAGTAATAATTGTTAAAGCTATTCGACCCATGAGCATGAACGCCACGCGAGATTAAGGAAGAGCGTACTTAATCTCCTCGACGGATGTAAGCTTACCAGCAGCTATCCGAGACATTTTCAAACGAATGGACGAGGTCGCGCGGGACGGGGCATGATCTAAAGGTAACTTGAATATATATAGGAGCCAGACAGCGCCATCTGACGCCATCAAACCATCGCCGGAGCCGTACATCAACAGACATCAACGCGGGTAGATTAGAACGGCAGGCGTACCTATTCAGATTACGGCCTCGCCCGTCATCCTTGGGAATTACCGACATATAAACAGCTCATACACATCTCCGCAGTCACCGAGTCCATCTCTAATCAGGCACAGTGTCGTTGTGGCTGGCACGAAACCCGATATTTGCTGCATCTGAATACATAAGTGATGCTGTTTCACCTTTATTAGTCAACGTGTGGGAGTCACACTTTGTTTAGTGGGCGTGTGAAGTCGAACTCAGGACACCAGGACCATCTAGCATGTGCTCCTTTGGGGAGAATGATTGGATAGCGCTGCATCGTTGCGATACAGACTGGCTGTAAGGCTATGTCTGGACGTGCTTTGGAAAGCAAGACTTGTAAAACCGTACTGGCCTTCCATCTATCAAATTACGCTATTATCAATGGGAATGATGAGATGCTTATGCTCGCAATTGGCAGCCGCTATATGGGGCTTGGATCAGTGCACAGCCATCAAGTCAAACGACAAGACCCGGGCTCGCCAAAGGCATAAGTCGCGAAATCTCGATCTCATCCTGGTAAGCAGCCATGGGAACGCACACAATTAGATCTTACCAATCTCCTGAGTGCTTGTCGACTAATCTCTCGTACGCACCAGACTACGGGAAAGTGCGAACATCCTTTGTTGATGATAGAGATGCCGGCCGCCTCCGCGCACTTCATATGATGTGGATGTCGCACTTGTCTTCCTTGTCCAGGGGTCCTCTGATGCCATTTGTCGATGGAAGACTGGCATGTAGATGAATACAGGATCGACCCGCTTAAGCATAGATCTGACAAGGTATAATACATATCCACTTCGCACAACTTGTCACTTCGGGTAGAAGAAAATGCCGGCGTAATAGAGTTGGAAGATATGATCACTGGACTGACTACACATCAATCTGGAGGGGGGATAGTAGTGTCAGCCATAGCAGGGCAAAAGAACATCTTGAGACATGGACGCTTGTCAATCTCGTAACATACCTCGTTGTCCTGTTTACCCAATGTGTCCTCCGCTGAGACGTCTATAGTTTGACTCTGGGCTGAGATACTGGTGGCCAGCGTGGTGTCAATGATAGGCCTCGTGTTTCCTACCGTCATCATCGCAAAGGCGAGGTTTCTCGATCTGTCGAAGTCGAGATCAATGGATTGGTCCTCGACACCTTGATTTGTTTGGCGAAGATAGATGAGAAAGCGGGAAATCAGGATAGACGAAATGCTGTAAGTTTTTCCGTCAGAACCGCGCTGAGACCCGACGGAAATACGAACGGAATAATATAATCAGTAATATTGCCTAATGTCTGGGGAGTACTTATCAGCAATTTGGGCAATTCTTGACACAGTACCATGGCGTACATTGTTCAATCGGAAGGTAAATATATCAATGAAGTTCATGAGGAAGAGTGCACTGCGGTCTGCCAATCAGCACCGATGAATCAAGTTGATCGTGAAAAATGTATACACAAAATATATCGTGCCTGCAAGTGATGGCGCTTATGAGATTTGTAGTGATACTATCATGCTGGAGAAACATACCGTGTCGGAGTACAAGCCGTGTAAGAGCCAGCCGAGTTTGAAATAGTGGCAATGATAAACCGTGCACGTAATACCAGGTAGCGATTATGACTATTGAGTCTGATAGAATTGCGCAAGCTCGAGTTGCCGTAATGACTATGAGGAAGGGTTCTGATTTGAGTGGAGCTCGTCTGAGAAGGCCAACCAAGCACTCGCCTCTGTAACATTAAATAAGGAAATCATCCACTCATCAGTGTCGAGTACGTTTGCGCAAGACCGATGCGTACTTGTTGTCCAACGCAGGGGCTGTGTGTATATCTCCATAGCAAAGGACACTTGACGGTAAGTCCGTCAGAACGATTGTTAGTCGAGAGAACCGAAACTGTGATATCATGTTGGCCGGAGCGGGGGACGATATGCCATGAGAGGGGCTGACCAGGTTTGTTCCCACGGGCACTAAACCTAGCCCAAACGTAATGATGGCAAGATACCAATTTCGGCGGCTGATAGCGTAGACCCGGGAAGCAGACACCCCTTCGCGACAGGCGTTAATATTGGTATGCATGAAGAGAATGACACGGAGCTTACATGCGCATATGATGATCAACACTAGTTGGAAGGTGATGAAGGAGCCATAACTGCCGTGACAGCTAAGTTGATAGCATAAGTACAATCACAAATGACGGTGCAGAGCTCGAACCTCTAGAAAAATGTACATGATCACGAAACGCAAGCTAGGCGTTATTCCGATCATAAATCATACCTTTTCCGAAGGTAGAACCCTGAGTAGGCTGGCGAACCCTAGGCCCAGTAAAGTCAAACGGTTACAATAGAATATCACTGCCGGTGCCGGCCTGCATCGAAGGACATGCTGTATTTCATCTCCAAAGGTGAGGCAATGTTCATAGAAAATAAGTGCTGTCATGACCTCCATAAGCTTCAGCACTACAAGTGTACAGCTTGACTCACCAGCGAGAGCAATTAAGGAGCCCTGAGTGAAGCTGACCGTATGCACATATTGATCACAAGTATCTAAAGGGGATCGGTGAGTGCTTACTTCAACTCTGGATCTGAGGCACTATGAGCGGGTGCGCTCGACATGGCGAAGGGGAGAAAGTGACAAGCCTTGGTTGTGTCTTTGATATACTACTTATACTTTTCGCTCGTGCAAGTAGTACCGCATACAGACGACTAGAAGATGTCAAACCTGTTCCGAAGACGAAAGCACTCACCTGCGCCCGTCGTAGCACCGATTCTTATCGACCAATGACCTTGGAAAGACTCTCGGCGTCTCATGCGACCACACATTACGTCTGTTGCTCGGAAGAAGCCAAAACGAATAAACCAACTTAGTCTAGTTTCGCAATCTCCACAATAATTACGTATACGTAAACTCTCGGTTGAGCCCAGGAGGGAAATCAGGCTGAACTTACAGGTATCTCCACAAACCCAATCATCTTCAGGCTGGGAAATCATGATTCATGACCACTGTTAGCTGATGGTTTGACTTCTGAGCTGGAGCGGGATGTCTTCCGCCATCGGTACAATAGAGACTCGCGTTGCAACACGAGCAATGTCCTGGCGGATATAGCTTGAGTCGCAACATAACGTCTCGGGAAGAATCAGGAGCGAACACGGATGGTGCGCAGCACGCCGAGGTGATAGACAAACCGATAGGCGCGTTAGCACTATCGGCGATATCTGCGGGGATTATCAGACTTACTACGCACCTGTGCAATCATGTGTCACTGCATCTTTGTTGACATATAGCCACAACGCGTCGCTGTTTCATGTTGTCGAGTTACTCGCAAAATTGCACGACGCGGCATCACCGCTTCTCGTATTCGAATCGCCCATACGTGCGCGTCACGATCTCCTGGTAGCCGGCTTCATCCTCCGCCGTGAGGTATCCGCGGCGAATCATGAGATCGAGAATAACTGTCCGACATGACTTGAGCGTACATCACTCCGCCGCACTTACGGCGGTAATACGCTCACCTGACGCCATACTCAAACAGCCCCCATCGCATATGCGACGCGACTTCGAGCATGGGAAGGAGCTATGGTGATCGTCAGAGGGGATGAGCATGGACTATAAGAAGGCATTACTCACTTCGAGAGATTCGATTTCGCTGTCGAGCGACTTGAGCTTACACCTCTCCAGGTCTGTCCCGAGAGGGCTACGGAGGCCACACACGTATCTGCTATCAGCTGGTGTCACTTTCTAGGGTCTGGTGGGTACCAGGGCGCGGACTAGAAGAGGTCAAGGAGTGCATATACGAAGGCTCACCAAAAGCAAGACTATACAGTGCCTGCTTCTCATATAATGACAAGATGTGCTATTGTTACAGGAGACAATACAAGGATGGACCGAAAGTCAAGCCGGGTATTGCAGCATTCATTCAACAGCCCCATTCGGTGTGAAACTTGCGTTGCGAAGACGCGCTCTCAACATCTGTGATCCCACCGACATACGTTATTCTTGGCTGCACGCCGGAAGGAACGGCAGACTACGGAATACTATATATCCTGGCCAGCCTCGACAGAGAACTTAGGTTCAACGCGAAGCAGGAGACGACTTACGCGCTCCGACGTACAGGAAAATGCTTTTGAAGCTTCGGATGATTAACGCCGGAGAAGGATGCTAGCAGACATACCCTGCACATCATCGAGCCCGCACGCTATGATAGTCGCTATCTAGACTCTGGGACCGAATTACGATGGATATTTGAAGGAGCGAGGGAGCACGTGGACCATGGTCGCTATATATATATCTGTAGGTCTGGTTTAAGAAAAGCGCGCCTTCCGGATAGGGTGCGGTGAATCTCGTGATTTACCGGTAATTTACCTAGGGTCGAAATCCAGGTAAATCTGGACGACGGGCGTTACAGTCATAAGCGAAAGCTCCGCGGTGCAAAGACGCTCACTTGCTACAACGTCACCGACAATCCGCTTGTTGGGTATCCTCAGTTGATCGACACGTCGCGCAAGTCATTCCTGGGTGCGATTCTGGCTCGTGAGGATCCTGAAGGGTCGTATAGGGGTTGTATACTGGAAGAGTGATAAGACCGGATGAGCAAGGATGGGCTACTGCTGCAGCTGTGAGCTGCTTATCCAGCAGAAGGTTGCTGTGGTACCTGTTCATGACGTGCTAGAGCTCGGGGATATCATCAGAATCGGTTTAGCTCTGTGGCACTGATGGCACTGATCCGTGCCAATCCCACCATGGGAATTTTCCGTGTTGTAAAGTGAGCAAGCTGTCGTCGTCTCGGTGATGTGTATCAATGACAAATGTTCGATATGTCTACGGACTTTAGAAAACATACGGTATCAGCCTGTATGGAACTCTCTGTGCCCACTTGTTCCATTCTTCTCCAAACTGTTCCTTCATCAATGCGTCCTCTAAGGGAGCACGAATCACGAATGCCACCGTTCCCCACAAGGTGTACCCCACATACAGCCACGCCGCGAACTTTCCGGCGAACGTATCCAACACTCCGCACTCCTTCAACCACGAGCCAGAACTAGCCAAGCAGACACCTAGGCCAACAGAGCACGCAATGCCGCTCGTGTAGCTTAGGTAGCGCACATATGCGTATAGTCCAGTCGTAACGAGCCGATGGTCCTGCTGGATCGTGAGTTCGAATGTGTAGAGGCGTTCGAGTTCGCGATAGCACTTGTAGCGGACGAATCCCGCTATGACAGCAATGCTGCAGCCGAGTAGGAATGCAGCCGAGTACCCGATCTTGTTCGTGCGGTAGAGCGAGCCGGGCACTAAGGCTTCCAAGACCTTGCGCGAGAGCGGGTGAGTGGGCCACCTGCTCGCCAAAATAACGCATATTTCGAGCAGTCCCCCAACGCCGGAGAGGAGCTGTATGGCTCATGTTCAGTACCTTCGAGGTTATGTCCGTTTGGTGAAGACATACCTTGAGGTTACCTGCACAGAATCGAGCTGCCGATGAGAATAATATGCGCTCGTACGCAGTCACGTTCCTGGGATATTCCGTTGGAGACGCCTGGGGATGTGGTGGCGTTAGGGTGATATACGCCCCTATCGTACCCGCAACTAAGAAGGGGATCTTCGAAAGGCACATCGTACAGCGTAGTTATGCAGCGCTGCTGTCCAGCGTCCTGGGTATAAAAAGTCAGGTTGCGAATGCCGAGGCGAATGTGAGTAGCCTCGTACCTTGACGCTCCACATGTGCACCTGGACACAGTGAGAAAGAGGTTCGAGCAAGTTCTCGCGGAGGCCGATAGCGACGCGCGGTACCTGCTAGAATCCGCTATTTAATGCCCAGCCGGTACCCGAAGAACTATACGTTATTCGGAACCGGAATCTCAGCACCATTCAATCATCTATTTGCCGCTGCTCGGGACGTGGCCAGAACCACTTGCTCACTCGAAGCTAGCCTAGACCAGGGGTCAGCGCCACTGTCAGCACTTTTCGTGTCAATTACTCTGCAGATCAAATGGTATAGGTAAGTTGGCATCATTAAAACTGTCACATATAAATATCCTCACCATAACGAAACATCGTGTTGGACTAGGACACCTTTCGTGACAAGATCAGTGACATAAATGACCAATCGAATGAAGCTCATCCCCGTTGACGATATCGCTTTCTACTCGGAGGTGAAATCCGTCAGATGCACTAACAAAGCGGAGCCATGTCAGTTCCTGGACAATCCGGTTGCTGCACATGAGGCTCAAAGCATTGTGAGGTCAAGAAGTAGGCATACATACCATCAATGCGGTCAAGGCAAGCGGAGAACAAATGACGTGAGACAGGGAGTGTCGAAATTCGTGGCTATGTATGCGTGGGCATGGTGAGCCCATGGGGGCGGTATACATGAGCTTGTAATGTGTTTGGACTCGAGACCAGCGCGGCGCATGGGCGCCTTCATAACGTAAACAAGTCGAATATCTATGAGAGTGACGGTAAGTAAAGAGTCCATGATGATACGTACGAGTGGACGTGTAGTATCCTTGACCAATGCAGTATCCTTCTATAGTGCTCAATAGATCGCCGGTGCTGCTCACGCAGACCATGACATGACATTCGTGTGACCATGATTTGAACCACGACCCGTACCTATGACATTATCAGTACAAGAAAGGAACCAGTCTGTACGGTACTTTCTGCGCCCACGCATCCCATTGCTCTTTGAATCTCTCCCTTAGCAACTGATCTTCCACTACCAGGCGGGAAGTAATCACCACCGTCGCCACCGACACAAACAGCGCGTATGCAACAATAAGCACACCACCCCACGTCGTATCAACGATCTGACATTCCCTGAACCAAGAGCCAGGACTTCCGTAGCAGCAACCTGAGCCGATGAAAACGGCCAGGGCGCTGGTGTACGATGGATGGCGCACGTATGCGTATGGGCCATGTGTGATGAGCTTGTGATTGTCGCTGACGTTCAGTTCAAGAGTGAATTGTTTGCCGAGCGCGCGGTAGCAGCGGTAGCGAATGTAGCTGCCCAGCGTCACCAATCCGCAGCCGACTATGAAAGAGGTAGAGTATCCTATTCTACTCGCGAGAGATGCTGGGCCAAAGATCAAGAGCCCGAGGATCTTCTGCGATGTAGCATGTGCGGAATATCTGTTCGCACATACCACGGCAGCCTCAATAATGCTTGCCGAGCAGAGGAAGACCTACGACATTTAAATTGCTGGAGGTCAGTGCTCCGTAAAACATGTCAGACGTGTCTACCTTGAAGCTTGCAGCATATAATCGGAAAATAGGGGACAAGGTTTTCTCCAGTGTACCCAGATTTTTCTGGGAATCGCTCTCTTTCGGCTTTGGCTGAGGAGGCGTGAAGGCACTGTAAATGCCCAGTGCAGTGATAGCAAGAGCAGGAATCTTCAGGACGGACATCGTGGTTATCCTGTCGTGAAGATACCATCCTTGTCAGCTTATAAGTACTGGGGCACGTGGGCTTGGCGGACACCTTATCGTGAGCGGGAACCCAACAATATCCACAGAAGCGTGAGTATGTCTAGAACATTGATGAATATCACAACATCTTCGCGGATGATAACTATGTCATCATGAGAACGAGACAGCTCAACGTAAGTTGTCCTGCATGAGACGCCATGATATGCGATAGGTTCCTGTCACGTACTCGCAATCACTGAGGTGCGCCCGCATTGTGTGCAACTCGTGAAGTGAACTTAGGGCACAGGCGATTCTTGCCAACTCTGTCCGTGTCCTCATTCTTGTCGTCTTCCTTATCTTCTCTGCGCTGGTCCTACATATTTGCACAATCACTCCATTGCGTGCGATTGCTGGTGTCCCGCGGCTCTTTGGAGATGACCTTCTCACTTTTGACCACGAGTCTGCGCTTCTGATCTTGTCCGCTTCGTGGCAGTGTCCCACTCTGGTGTACACGGAGTTTCTACATTTTTAGCCTTTGGGCCTCAGGCCCTGACTTTCTATGAAATACAGTTACATTGGTCATGCGTTTCTCGTCATACCAAATCTGGTTTGGGAGGCCTCAGGCTGAATGATATGTTTGGCGACGCCGAAAGGATACACGACATTGGCAGGCATTGCCTTTGTAATCATGCGCAGTTCCTCATCTAGGTCTGCGTAATCACAATCTGTGCAAAGCAAGCGGCATACATACGGCAAGGCAGGTGGCAGCCTCCATCTGATATTCACATTCCGTCAGGTATGTTTAGTAGTCACATTGTTTCGCTCACTGACTGCTTTGGTTCCTGACTGTTTTGCATTAAGTTCTAACTAGTGTCATTGGTAAAGGTTGGATGCTCAGTGTGCTACCTGCTTCCTGGCACGTGTGAAAGCCAGGACAGGTTTTCGGCAACCGTGGGAGCCCACGCTCTGTCAACGAGGCAATGGGGACCGATCATTTCCTGTGTCTAACTCCTAGCTTGTTGTCACAAAGCGCTCTCCCAGAAAGACTATGCGATTGTGTTACGACGTTCCTAGCCTGTGAGCGCATAATCTTGTAAGCACATCGCACTTTCGTCTCAGTGCACGCGATGACGTTACGACGTGCAGGAGCCATACATGTTGAGGTCATCTTACCCCAGACTACGATTTGCTCGTAAGACTCGCCCACGCAGGACGCTCCCCGCACTTCCCATCGACGTTTGGGAGCACGTTTTTGACTATCTGGAAGACGAAGAGCTCCTAGCATGCTCACTTGTCTGCAAATCTTGGGCACCTAGGTGTCAGTTTCACCTCTTTACGGAACCTACAATACTGTCGAGCGCTTCAGCTACTCGTCTTGCAAAGTTCATGAGAGCGAATCAACGCTTCGCGAAGGCAGTGAAAACGGTGACCTTGGATAGTTATGACGCAAGCCTCATTGGGGCGTTCGCCACTTCGTTCGCTTGCGTTCTCCCCCGCTTGCAAAATCTCACGATTGTCTTCATCGAGTGGTACCAACCTGGACTCGTGCATGCAGACGTTTTCTTGCATCTCTCCACCTACACGTGCATCACACGACTCTCCCTCTCCAACGTGCATCTCGCATCGGTGCATACTTTCGGCCGTTTTATCTGCTCCTTCCCGAATCTCAAATGCCTAGAATGTTCAGACGTAAAGTGCGGGAGTTCCTCGCTTAACTCGCCCGCGTTTTGCATGCCTCGATCAGGCCTGACGACGCTCGGCCTGGGTAGAGGCGTATCAGACGGACTCGTCGACTTCATAGTCTCCGCTCAGCTCGTTGTCGGTCTGTCAGAAATCAGCGTCGGCTACATGGGCGCCGCCTTTGTGGAGCCTTATGAACTGACCGTTCAACGATTGTTGCAAAGCGCGGGCGATTCACTACGACATCTCAATCTACGCATCACAGATAATGATGTCGTAGTTTCGTCAGATGCCGAGTGGGAGTGGGACACCATCACCTCCGTTGACATGGAAATCTCCCGGGAGGTCAGAGCAGCCATTATCCATGACACCTCCTTGGAAACGCTACATCTAGGTGTTAAGCTTGAAGCAGCCAGCTGGGCTTGGATCCTCCAAATCCTCAGATCGATCTCATCCCGTAAACTGATCAGCGTCGTCGTGAGTGTCTATTCAGACACGATCAACAATGTTTTGCACGCGTTGAAGGCACAGCTAAATGTCCCGCTGTGTTCCGAGATGGATGGTGTTTTATCCGCGGACAGGTTCAACGGACTTCAAGAGTTTCGTTTCAGGGTGATCAGGGAAGCCTTCCCTGTTCCGCCCAAGGCCAAGTTCCTTCGCGTCCTCTCATCTCGGTTTCCCAAATTGGGTTTGCGAGGTGTTCTCCGGTTCATACAACACGCCACTGGCTTCGTACCTATGGCACAACACTGACAGTATACGAATTACAGAACAAGCGTGTGGTATCCTTCCATCGATCACGATTCGGAAGCCCTCGGTGAGTACGCAGTCAGACTTGTGTGAAATTGTGCTGATGCAGCCTCTTTGCCAGAGATGGGCGAGACTATACACGACCCTTGGCCCGGTGATTGGGACCGGGCAGAGTCGGACGATGAGTACTAGGGTTTCTATTCAGGTTACGTCATCGTTATCAGCTTGTAAAGCCACACCACCTCTTCTTTCGTTTGAAAATCCGATGTCCGAAATTCGGAACGCACTGAATTGATCGCGCTCGATCCGGCGCGGACTCGAGACTCAGGGAACATGATCTGGTGGATTTGGTAATATGCGGTGCAAATGACAAGATACAGGCCATCCTGTAACGTATCTACTGTAAGCGGTGTATCCTCATCAAGGTAAGGTGGATGATCTCAGGCGGCTCATCACAATTGCGAACAGCAACATCGTATGGTACTACGTATCCCACTGGTCTCTTCAACACGGAGTGAGCACGTAAAGCTTTCTACAATCGCACTTTGAGTCAGCGCTCGCACGTCGGACCGATGACGCTCAGCGGATCATCCACGCTATCCGTCCTAACCCTCGATCCATAGGGCCTCGTTGTGTCCTCATGTGAGCGTCGAGGTCCTCGACGTATTGAATGGGCGTGTTCTACACACCCTCCGGCCTCTTATAGGCGTGCTGGAGGCACCATGGCTATCTCTTGACCCATCACCTACATTGCTCGAAGTCCTGGTCGACTTTCACATCTGCCCTTCCTTCCCGCCCTCCTCGCTATGGGTCTTCCGACTACTGCGACGCCTACTCCGGAGGTGTCCGTGGAAGATCGCAACGCCCTACCGCAATATGGCTTCGGCCCGGACGTCGAATTTGAGAACCTGGTGGAGAGTAACCCGTTCCTCTTCCGCGTCTATACGCCGAAGGAGCCCTCACCCTTCTACGACCGCACTGAGCCATACTTCATCGGGCCGCGCTTTGCCGAGGACTTTGCCTCGTCCAGCTTCAACTCACAGGATGCCTCGAACTCACCGTACCGCAGTCCTCCTGTGTCCACCTACGCCGATGCAGTACAGCACCTCGACTGGACGAGCCGATCGTCATCTCCGTACGTATCGACCTCATTCAGTTTCGCATGGGCGATCTGGGAGGCAACAAGACGTTATCACCATGGCGTCAAGCATTCAGTCGAGATCGCTGTGATCGATGCGAGAGCTGTCTGCGGACGAGCAGTCACGGCCGTCGAATTACTTCGCAAGGCGGATCCCAAGGAGTGAGTTCACATCGTCACATATATGTTCCGATGCTGAGACAACGTGCCATCAAGCCGCCATCAGGACCACTGGAAGTGGTACCGATACGCGCTTGAGGCGCAGGACGTCCTCGTGTGGGGCTACATCCCGGGAACAGCCGTGCTCGCCTCGATTCCCCTCTCCCAAGTGCTCACGAAACTACCCTCCTACTTCCTATGCGCCGACTCCTCCGATACGAAGGACTCGCCGCTGGGCCGTCTCGGGTGGGACTACATGACCAAGAAGCCAAGCTACCGGCAGTTCTGCCAGGACATGTCGGAGCGCTTCCTGCGGCTCCCCGCAGACCGGCGGCTGCGCGACACAACTGCGGGCTCCGTTCGCCTCGCGCTGTGTCACCTACGGCCATGGTTCCACGAACTCGCCCTGAAGGACTTCACAACCGCGACGGTGACGGTGTGCGAGCTTGCATTCGTGATCGCGCGTTGGTCCGGGCAGTGGTGGGCGCGCGAGCACCCCGAGATCGACAGCCTGGTCCGGTGCATCGTACACATCGTCGGCGAGGAAGTGCGTGAGGCGCGCCGCGTGCAGGCACTTGCGGACGCGACGCGCATGCAGGAGATTGTCGGCGGCCTCGAGCAGCTCGCACAAACATACCAAATGCGCACACGCATGTGGAAGTGTCCACCCAGCACGCTCCAGACACCGGTGGAGCCGAAGGCGGCTGAGGCCGCGCCTGTCCCTGCCTCCGTTGCTCTCGCCCAAATCATCACTCCCATAGCGACAGCGCCTGTTCTGCAGTCACCTGTCTCGCCCGAGCCGGATCTCGAGAAAGCGACGCCTTTGACGGAGAAGCCAGCAACGCCGGTTGAGCAGAAGGACTCTCACCTGCACACCAGTATGTACTCGACGTTGGCTCTAGTCGCGGGCTTCTTCCTCGGCTCCTTCACAACCCTATGGGCGCTGGCGCCTGACATGCGAGTGCTTGCTAACAACCTCACCTGATGCGTCGGGATCGCTATGCTTCCCCTTCGATGCCGTGTATGCCCCAAACATGCTGCTTTATGCTCCGCCTCATTACGCTCATATGGCCTATGCACCCTGGCGTAAACCTTGCCCTGGGACTGCCGTGATCTAGTCTGGATTTTATTATAACTTATCCCCTTCGATTCTCCGGCGCGCTAGCAGCTCCTTGTATTCGTCGTGATTGACATTTATAGATGAAGCAAGATGTACTTTACCTTTTGTAGTTGTTTGAATTGAACAGATGGATGCCATTACTCGTGGAGGAACGACGAATGTTGGGATTGTTGGCGAGCGTGACTTGGTCATTGGACTGCGGTGTAGTGCTGTAAAATCAATGAAACATTGGGTCCACGCGTGATCCATGGGTGCAGGAGATTGTGCAACATACCCCCAGTAACAAACGCGGCAAATACCTACCCTGCAGGGAACTGTCACATAGCCTCTCAGTCAGATGACGTGGCTGAACTTGTCATTGTGGGATCGGAAAGCAAAAGCCTGGCAAGCGGGGTGCAGCGATCAGCTGAAAACGTGATGACCGGGGCGCTGTACTGTCACAGAACCACTAGGATGTATTCTCGTCGACACAGCTGACATGCCAGAACTGAATGCCTTCCCGCAGAATCTGAATGGTTTGTTGGAACTTGGAATTGTGGCGAGCGCACGCCATCGTATTTGGTGTTGTTTGTAGTACCTCGCAGACTTTGCGCGAGCCATCCTGTACGTTCCTCACGCGTTTGACAGAGCTCAGACAAACGCGATATATCTTGTCGATCGTTCTCGCTTCGAGTCTCGGACGAACTTTTGCATGGTTTGCAGATGCAAACCGGACTCTGAAACAGACCTTTTATGTCAGTCTGTTTGGCGGGATAAAAGCGCCCAGAGGGCAAACGTTACAGTTCGCAATGATCGCATCGCCCAAAGCCCTAATGCGCGGTGAGACATTGTTATCACCTTCGTCCATATCATCTGTCTCGCCTCCACCCGAGCTGAAACCAACTTCAGAGTAAAAAAAAACTCGCCAGCGCTGACGAGTTGAGCGACTTCTCTGAAGTCAGCAGCCGTGCCTGCCGTTCACGTCAAGCGCAAAAACGTCTTGTACCACATAACATCTGAAACATATTATGATGCTTCACAGTACTAGAATGAAAGAGTGGCGCAGCAGCCTGTAGATCGTACAAGGCTCACATATTGTTAAAACCCAGAGAACGCCTCGAGTTTTTGATATAGTTAATAACATGTCAAAACCCTCTCAGTTAAAAACCTAAGGAGATTCCCGAACAGTAGTCCCGATTTCCAAACCGGGCTATCGCAAGCGATCTCTGCGTCGCTGGACACTAAGGCGAATGTTCTGAACTTCTAGACTTATGAATAATACTGCCCCTGATATTTTGGGACAGGCGGGGACGATTCTACGGAGACTGAACCATCCCCCAGGAGCGGAGATTTAACCATCTCCCTCCTCGGGAGATGCCTCAAGCGCCCCCCTGGCAGGAGCGCTTACCCTCCAAAACAAGAATAGCCTCACGTGACATTCGCACTATCGCTCCGTTCCTGTTTTGGATTTCGGCGAAGTCCGGGGCAATAATCTTATCTGATCTGAATAGCTGCCTAATCCGGTTATGCCCCAATAAGATTAGGAGTCTCGTTTTTTGCCTTTTTTGGGTATTGCTCCCGCCTGCCGTTCCCTCAACGCCCAATTTGAAATATATTTCCATTTGAGGCCATAAAATGGCGATAGTGAACCTCCCTAATACAGCAGGAGGCAATTTAGGGTCTTCCTGAAATGGAAGCCACACGTGATTAAAGCATTTTTCTCGTCAGGAATGCACGTGAGGCCATTCTTGTTTTGGAGGGTAAGCGCTCCTGCCAGAAATAATGGGGGGCGCTTGAGGCATCCCCCGAGGAGGGAGATGGTTAGATCTCCGCTCCTGGGGGATGGTTCAGTCTCCGTAGAATCGTCCCCGCCTGTCCCGATATTTTACCTTCCTCTGTGGGATTTGCTACCGGTCATCGCACGAAGTATGGATCTGGCCATGCGGTTCTCCCACGTCCGGCTCGCTACGACGGGTCTAACTTGAATGTCTTATTTTCTTCCCTTCGTATCGTCGGATAACCAAGTCAATCATATGATTATATCGGACTCGGCAGACTTGAAGCTACTTAAGTCTCTGCAGGGAAAGTGTGTGATATATGATATGTAGCTAAGGGGGCTGCCGAGGATGCACAGGCCCTGATCAGGGCGTCAAATGATCATTGATGGAAAGTACAGCATCTCCGATTGAGATCTTGTATCGTAGCCACCGGTTGCGCTGCTCGGCTGTGGTCAGCGGTAGCGCCGTGCTTTCATTTCTCATCCTCGCGCCTCTCTTTGGCCGAAAGCGTCAGGTTTTCTTTCATGCCCGGCGGCTGGGGTGTCTACTTTCATTGCTGGATCCCGTATGACGTATCAGGAAATGCGTGGTAAAGGCAGAGGTTCTCATGAGGACGACTTCGCAACCTCCAGGCACATGCTAATCCCAAGCATGAGGTGGATGCAATCTCCTCCGGGCCTACGCCAAAGTAAGCATACTAGTATGGACCCATGATCTGGACTGTATGACTGCTGCCGAGCGCCTGACACCCCGTAAACCTGAACGCAGTATGTGCCGACGGCCGTCGGACCGCTCAACATTGTAGCCATCTCAGGAGGAAGGTTTCAATGAGCATCATTGTCGAAACGTCAAGGCATCATGGCTCACCCGGGCTCCGAGCGAGCCTCAGTCTCCTGACGAAACAGCTCTGGAGTTATGTCTATCTCGAACTGTCAAATCTGCCACGATTGTCGCATGACTACATGGTACAGCATGCTCTCTCGGCTGAAAAGCTCACGAAGACGCACATGCTACATTGCCCCGCGGATGTCATCCAATTGGGTCATAACATAAGTTCGGCCGTCATGCTCGCGACGCTCTACGGGGGGCTCGATTTTCGGGAGGGACTTCCGTATAACGCCGCTTAACATGAATCACGGCCGTGCGGTGAGGTCTACTCCTTCCTCCGAAGCTACATTCCCAATTAACATTTTTGATGGACAGCACCGTCATGATCTTGCAGTGCTATGCGGTTGAACGCACATACTGCTGATGTTTTACCGATGACACAGTTGTTCTTCTTGGCACGTCAAATGAACATTGTACACCATCGTTCGACGACTCCCAGAAGACCAGCCGCTGCTACCACCACATGGGACGGTGCCGCATCGCGCTTCTGTCCAATGTGGCGATGCTTGGCGCATGCATCGTTGCATGCTGGTCGCCAGCAGTACGTGTAGAATGTTGGCTGGGCTCGATAGCATGACCGCTGAGTCGGTCGTGCGTAGTGGCCACCAGCCTGCCTGCGTCAGAGGATAAAAGGTGCAGGGACTGGGCTCAGACAGAATCCAGTGAACGCTCACATCCTCCTCGACGTCCTAGTCCATATCAAAATGAAGGCTTCCACCCCTCTCGTCTCTGCAGCTCTTGCGGTTGGTGTTGCTGCAGACCGCACGTTCACCGTTTACAATGGATGTCCCTTCACCATTTGGTGGGTCCACCTTTCTATATCTTGAGACTAGATACTCACCGAGAGCAACGTTCGATAGGCCTGCTGTATGTTTTACAAGCAGACGCCACGTGATAGTAGAACTAACTTCTACATAGTTATTCACTGACCTGAATGCGGGGAGTGCCGTGCCTAACTATCAAACTGGGTAAGTCAAATTTTACTACGCCGCCGTGCAAACTTATTGACGGATGATAACTAGATGGGAAGCTGCCGCCTACACCTCGGTTTCATTCTCCGTTCCGGACAACTGGACGGCTGGCCGTATTTGGGTGTGTCCTCTGCCCAGGTTTGTCAGCTCAAAGCTGGACATATGAACAGGGCCGCCGCAACTGCGATTTCTCTATCTCCAACCCTGCTACGCAATGCGCAGACGGTGGCTGCAACGGCGGCCTTGAATGTGATCCGCACACAGGCACGGTGAGTCCGAACCGAGCTCTGATCGTTTCTGCTCATGTTGACGTGTGTACCATAGGGTGTCCCTCCGGCAACTGTAGCCGAATTTACCCTAGGAGGTACCTCCGGCCAGCCGGACAACTATGACGGTGAGTCGCTAAAATCACTACACCTCTGCACGGCATCTGTTGGGTGATCGCTCACACGGCTGCCGCGCCGCAGTATCCCTCGTCGACGGTTTCAACCTGCCAATGAGCATCACAAACAACGTCGGGTGCGGTGTCGCTGACTGCCCCGTCGACCTCGGCCCGAACTGTACGTCACTGCTTTGCTCCGTGATCTGTTTGATGTGAATGTCACTGTTCTTTGCAGGCCCGAGTGCCCTCCAGGGCCCCTTCGATTCCAGCGGTTACCCTGTCGGCTGCAAGAGCGCATGTGACGCGAACCTCAGCGGTGACCCTAGTATGTCAAAAACTTCATTAGCATTCTTCCAAGCGTCTGAAAAAGTTTGCAAATTAGGCAACTCGCCGAACTGCTGCTCGGGCAACTACGACACCAAGGCGACGTGCCCTTCGTCTGGCGTGCAATATTACTCCTACTTCAGTGCGTCTGTCAGAGCATCTCTACGGCGCTCCTCTCACTGTGACTTCTATACAGAGGACAACTGCCCCAACTCTTACTGCTACGCCTACGACGAAGCCAGTGGCACGGCGCTCTGGACCTGCGATGTAAGCAAGGAGGCTGATTATACTATTACCTTCTGCCCGTCATCATCGTAATCTGTCGCACGCTGCGCCACTACATTCTACCCTTGAATCGTAGGTGGGTATCAGAATAGGGCTGGAGCGTCGAAGCGCAATCAGGCTGTAATGATTGGTCTTGGTTCTTGTATTTATTGATCGCAATCCGCACACATGATTACCCGATTCGCACACATTGAGGCGTCACGAGCTACAATCTGTGCTGGGGGGATATGCAAGGAAAAAGAGCGCAGGAGATGTGGTACGAGTCCCTCGCGCTTGACCCAACAACATGTGCCCACTCGGTGTCAACTTCTGGGGCATCGGCATCGGCATCACGATCACGTGGGCGTTCCAGTCCAACTTCTTCCCTTCAAAGCTTCTTCCCACAGCCGCATTGACTTCGGTGCGTCTGTTCTCATCGAGCCATTACGAAGCGCCATCATTTCTCATGTGTCTGTCCATGTGTGGCCGATCCATTCCATGAAACTGCCGTCTAACCTGAGATATACAGACCGCAGAAGCCATCTGGCATGGAAGCACTCGCTGAGCGTGTATTCAGAGTTTGAGCCCGTGTTTTTTCCCAGGTTTGTGTTCCTATCTGTGAGACTGTGTCTCTGGTAGCGAGCGCGGATTGCATCTGTTGTCACTGAATGATACCGCGAGCGGTTACCACATGCCTGCTGTCCGTATTCAGGTGCCTCGAGATACGTACATCCGTTACCTTTCTAGGGCGGGCCTAGGTGAGATCCTCTGACTTTGTTGTGCCTGAGCAGCATGACAGAATACTCATGATCATCGTAGGACGGGCTCTCCGACCCTCTCCACCCATATGCGGAATTGTCGATTGACAGATTCGAAACAAAAGACTTCCTGGATGGAACGATGCCGCCCGGAAATGCTATTCAGAATCTCATCGTGGCGATATCCTATGATACGGGCTGTTCACCATCGCTCCACTTGTATGATGTCGCTATTCACGATATCCCTCGAAAGCATTGGAACCCATTCTAGGAGTTGAAGGTTTGTCTTCTGTTGCTCACTAACGCTGGGGTCGGCACGAGGTGTAACACTCTTCGTGGCTGAAGGCGCCCTGTCCATGATGCTGCATTAGCGACCTGCCTAGAATTTGGCTTCCTTCCAGGACCTTGCTATTCTAGGCCCTTCGCATGGGGAGGGTTCGGCACCGATAGCATGCTGCTCAATTCTTTAGACATTCTAACTAGATCTCCTTTTCAGATGCTATCTACCCACGTTCAATTGGCTCATGTCAACATAATGTGACCACAGAAGCAGTCACATGAATCCGACCAATATTTTCGAATGCATAGGGCCATGCGGTAACTCGTCCTGCGTCTCTGTATCGCGATCAGAACAAACGGACTGCAGCAAAACAGCCGGTGAGTCTCATGTCCACATGGGCCGCTTGTCAAGGTTTTTGGATCCGGCCTTGCATTTTGTTTTTCAAAATGACCGCAGGTAGCTTCAGATGTATAAAAGCTAGACTGTAGCATAGGCTTAGAACAAGGTGGTCCCTTCCTCGCCTCCCTCACGACTATGAAGACTGTTGCATTCGCCGTCCCGATCGCTCTTGCTGCGGCCGCTCTCGCCGATCGCACGTTCGTGGTGTATAACGGTTGTCCATTCACTATATGGCACGTTTAGTACTGTATAATGTGAGCAGCTGTTGACACACGCGGTACTACTAGGCCTGCAGTACGTACGCACCTTGGCAGAACAGTCGGACGTGTGACTGATCAGGTTTTCCCTTTACTCACAGATATTCACGGACCTCAACGTCGGGAGTGCTGTTCCAGACTATGCGACGGGGCAAGTGCACTCACGATCAATATTGACCCTTGCTTGACAATATCGCCAGGTGGGAGGCCGCCGAGTACACTCACGTCACCTTTTCTGTCCCAGACGACTGGACAGCGGGCCGTATCTGGGTACGTGGGCTCATGCAGCTGCTCAAGCTGTCTTCGCTACGCTGACGTATAACTAGGGACGCCGGGACTGTGACTTCTCGGATACCAACCCTGCCACGCAATGTGCTGACGGCGGCTGCAACGGGGGTTTAGAATGCGACCCAAACACTGGCACGGTAAACCGTATTCCCTTCGGTGCTCAGAGTCACAGAGGCTGGCTCACACCCCTGTCTGACGCAGGGTGTCCCGCCAGCCACCCTAGCTGAATTCACCCTTGGAGGAACCAGTGGCAATCCAGACTACTACGACGGTGGGTGCCATGTTCGCAGGCCTCCGTGTGATAGTACCTAACCTTACCCGTCACCAGTGTCCCTCGTGGATGGCTACAATCTGCCCGTGAGCATCACCAACAATGTCAACTGCGGCGTTGCCGACTGCCCCGTCGACCTCGGCCCAGACTGTACGTGCCGTCTGTTCAAGGGCTCCCCCGTTTCCTTGACCTCCTGCCTCTCCCAGGTCCTTCCGCGCTTATCGGCCCCTACGATTCGACCGGCTTCCCTGTAGGATGCAAAAGTGCATGCGAGGCCGACCTCGACGGTGATCCGAGTACGTGCCCGAATTCTGGCCCTTCGCTGTGGCACCGCTGAGAGAACGCCCGATTCAGCCAACTCGCCCAATTGCTGCACGGGCGACTACGACACCGCCGCAACGTGCCCGTCGTCGGGCGTCGAGTACTACTCCTACTTCAGTACGTCCCCGCGCGCTCGAGAAGTAGCTTTAATCGAACACTGACCCGCGCGCGCTCGAGCAGAGGATAATTGCCCGAACTCATACTGTTATGCATACGACGAGAGCAGCGGCACGGCGCTTTGGACCTGCGACGCAAGCCTGGAGGCCGATTATACCATCACATTCTGCCCACCGTCATCGTGAAACCGTCGCACATTGTCGGCGCGGTTTTGACGTCGCTACGAGCACGAATCACGATCGTATCTGCCAAGGCCATATTGTATTTTTGGAACGGATAAGACGGCTGTATGATACGCGCGATGTCTAGCAACAAATGATTATCTTGGCATGTCATATGATTCCCGTGAGAGTATGTGAGCAGACACCACGATGCGTCGCAGACGTCGACGTCCTGTGCACGACCACTTGACTCCTTAGGGTGCAGCCGTGAGCGATAGGACTGTGGTAGCACGAGTGCCTGAATGGAACGATGTCTCACATTTGTTACTCGAATGGACCATTTTAAAGACAGATTTTCGACCATTAGCGGTTCATTTCGAGCTTCGTTAAGTCACAAGTCGCAAGTCTTTCTTGACCCTAACCCTAAGCTCTGCTAGAGGCTGAATGTACCATCTTGAAAGTAAGTCATTCATCGAAAATCCAAGCTCCTCGCCATATCTTGAGTAGTTTAGACGGCTTCAGCAGGTTCTCCGCACTATGGGATACGATGTGCCAGCGCTTCAAAGAGAACTACTAGTGATGACGCCCACAGAGGCAAACATTGTTGATTGCTGGAGCATGTCTCGGACAGATTTGCTTCACCGCGATCTAAGATCATAGGTAAGTACCTTAAAAGTTCGTGGTTCTAGATCTAATGGCATTCAAGAGCAAAGCACCTGATGCGATTGGCCCTCAGGATCCCATCGGTCGGCCTGAGTGGCCTGCATCTTTGTTCATGGTTCGGTCAGACGGCCGCTCAACTTGAGCTCAACAGAAATGTGAGTGCTGTCTGCCCGTGCTCTAAGAATGATCACAAACCTGCATGCACAGAGCGAGATTTGGTGGGAAGATTCTCTTACGGACGAAGAAATACTCGAATTTGTGCACGTCACCGGAGCTTCCCATTCTCGGAAATACTCCCTCTACTAGGTCGCTGAGGCCTGCGCCCATTGATGACATCTCTCCACGAGTACATGTCAAGTTGGGCAGCTACTACACCGGGGAATATGAAGCTCGCGCGATGGAGGTCGTTCACGCACAGACGTCAATTCCCGTTCCCAGACCATTACTTTTTTCCAGCGTGAAAGAGCGTGCTACCTGGTCATGGAGTACATCAAGGGGTGCTCACTCGACTGGTGCTGGGATGACCTCAGCCTCTGGTGGAAGTTGGTGCAGAGCATGGCAGCACAAAAAGCCTGGCTCCGATGGCCTGTTGAAGAGCCGGCTCCATGATCATCATGGGTTCTGCTCTTCAACAGGCCATCAGGTCTGGGCCTTTTGCTGAAGGCCACTCTGGTCAGGCTGAGCAGACTGGCATGCTACCGAGAACCTCGATACTACAGCGGAGGAAGACAAGGGTTTGTCTGTCATGCTGGTTCATCTCATATACTCTGCGTAGAGACTCAACTCAACTTACTCAATGCATCCTCACATGGATTTACTGAGCACAGGATGCATCACGATCTATTCTCATCACTCAGAATCACCCACCCCTCGAGACACATCTTTGGCGCACAAGGGCAGGAAGCATGACAATCTGGACTCTGACAGCAGTTGAGGCCAGTCAGCTGTTTTGCCAACACAACTTAGAGATCCACTCTATTCTGCAATCAATCACGTCCAGACCCCTGCGGGAAGACAACCCACCATTGAATGGTCGGAGGAATATAGTTCCTTTGTTCCAGCAAGCGCAATTAATACTAACGGACTTAGCTGCGTTACGCGAGAGACTGCAGCCACGTCAGGGTGGAGGGCGGAGAAACTCGACGGCTGGCCTTTCCAAAAGACACGACCAAGTTCCGCAGTACTGAGCTTCAGTTCCACCATCGCCGAGCTCGATGCATGAGGGCAGTTCTATCATCATTCCTGCGACTGCGACCGCTGCCAGAGCTCAGCACAGCGGCTCTGCGTGCCGCAAAATCTACATAACCCACTCCCTGACTCGACGCACTTCTTCCGCCCGGCGCCTCACCACCGCAGCGACCTCCTCTCCCCACACCTCCTCCGGGCGCCGCTCACCCTCATAGCACTCCTTCACATGGCGCGCCGCCTCGTCGTGCTCCAGCGCGACGCAATTTTCGAGCGCCAGCGGCGCCGCGGGGTCCCAGCGCACGAGCGAAGGGCGCGAGGGCACCGCATGCGGCGGCACCGCCGAGCGCCCGCGCGAGATGTCGTCGAACAACAGGCCGGCATCATCCTCATCGATCGGCAGTCTACTGTCAGGAGACCAGAGGGGTGAGCGGGGAAGGGGGGACGTCGAGAGCCCAAGGACTGCTCACTTTATTTGCTGCCCCGTGAGCTTCATCTCGCGCTGTAGCAGGTCGCGGTAGAGGTGCTTGTAGAGCTTCTGGCGGCCCTTGACGGGGAGCGGGTTCGTGATTGGCTTGCCAGCGAGCTCGCATAGTATGTACGTCGCGATTTGCAGGCCGAAGATAGAGGGGAGCGGTCCTATGCGCGTTCGTCAGCCTGCTGAACTACTGCACAAACGCAACCTGCGCAGCGCAGGTAAATACGTACCGAGCACGGGCAGGATCCGCACGCGGAAGTCGTCCAACACGCCGAGCTCCTTCACGGCGCCCTTCTTGAACTCCTCTTCGGGGAGCGGGAGCAGCTTCACGTCTCCAGGAACCTCGGTCGAGTACACGACGGGGATCCCGCCGGACACGCCCTGCAGGCGTAGGCGCCGCCGCACCGCGCGCGCGAGCGGATCATACATCGTGTACGAGATGTCGCTGATCTGGATGCGCGTCGGGTCGCATTTTGCGCCGGCGCCCATCGAGGAGAACACCTGCGGGCAGGTGAGTAGCCATACGGGAAGCAAGTCAAGCGGGAGAGGCGTACCTTGATGTTGTGGTCGTGGCAGTACTTGAGCAGGTCGACTTTGGTAGTGATGTTGTCGATGGCATCTGCAGTGCAGGATGAGAGAGGTGCGACGAGGCCAATGTAGAGGTTCGGACGCACCAATGACCCAGTCTGCACCCTCGAGCAGGTCCCCACCCGTCTCCTTCTGCCAGAGGTCAATGCGCGCATCGACGTCCACCCATCGCGCTATTTGCTTCAGCGTGCGCTCGATACAGCGCACTTTTGGCGTGCCGACGTCCGCGAGCACCGCAGTTGCATGTCTGTTGAGGGACGAGAGAGTGACATAGTCGAAGTCAACGAGCCGGATCCGCGAGATACCCCTGCCCAACGTCCACAGGGGTCAGCAAGCCAATCCAAAGCGCACTCCCTAGAGGGCGTACGATCTTACGAGCATAATGGCGGCCCAGCTGCCGACGCCCCCGCACCCAACGACCACGACAGTACGCTTGCGTATCTGCGCCATGCCCTCCTCGCCAAAGAACGCGTAATTGCGTGCGAGCTGCTCCTTCACGAGCTCCTCATCGTACTCATAGTCAGCGCCTTGGAAGTTGGTCCCGAGTGCGATGTCACGCTCGACATGCTCGGTCTCATCTATTGTCGAGTGTGCGGTCGGCAGGGACTGTGGCTTGCGGGAAGCAAGTGTGCGGCGAATATCCTGGTCAAGGTCTCGCCTTTTGCGGTGCCGCGAGTGCTGTTGGTACGCGGTGAAAAGCCCTGCAGTGGCCAGGGAAGCTGCGAGTGCTGTGACGATCAGCTGGACACGATGTGAATGGACATCGAGCGCCATTGTCGGTTGTGGGGACTTGCAGGATCGTCGTCGAGAGACTATGTTATGAGGCACAGTGCGTATGTGCGAGCAAGAGTAGCTGAAACGCTATAAATGAGTGAGGCTCAACATCAGATGCGCGTCTCAAAGGGAAATGACGTTGAAGTCCGGCACGGACCAAACCGAACTGGGCATAGAACCGAACCCCGATGAACGCCGGGCGGTCCGGGAAAACCCAGTCGCAGCCCTCTAAACGGAATGAAACCTCACATGGGAGGGTGACACCGCGCACGCCGGGCTGGAGGAATGTGGGGGGAAGGAAAACGAGGTATCAATGCTCGGCGTGAGAGCCACCTTATATAGACCCAGCAAAGTGATGTGACATCATACACGACGATGTCATATGCATGTCAGTGTCTCCCCGTCTCGTTTTAGAAGATGGCTTTCCTTTTACGATCGGTCGCTTCTTCCTTCTATTCTCGAAGTAGGCTGCACATATATTCTGAGTCTGCTTTTTCCAAAATATTAATCCCCGGCAGTCCCTGAACACCCTACGCGGACGAACGCCCAAAGGGTGCCGCGCGGCATCGTGTCTCGCTCCAAACTGTCGTCGCTTTCTACTTTGCATTGTGCTCTTCAAAACGCCGAGCGGCGTTCAATGGCGCATGTATCGACCTCGTCAGTTCGTGATCAGCTCTGCATTGAAGTATATCTCTTTGCGATGACGGCTAGTGTTTCTTCAATAATAATTGATATAGGCCCAACGAAGTCTTACCAGATACCGAGGAGCCAGGCGAACCAGTCAATATGTCATGTTTGGCCAAATCTGACCGAAATGCATTACCAACTGGACGTGCAGATGTATGATGAAAGCCACGACGCCGAAGACGGTAATCCGAAGCACGCACAGCAATAAGTCACCGCCAGAAGCAATTAATGTACGGACTCTACCGGAGCAGTTAATGCAGCGTTTATATGTTCCATCCGGCGCTTGATGTGATTACCCAGCCGCCTTCTTCAGTCTCTGACTTGCATGCACGATTCTTGCACCACATCTGAATGCACCCCATCGCCACCAAGCAATGCTCAGTCGGCGTGCAGGCAACGGCCTTGCAGCGCAGCTGTGGCCTGTAAGCGCAGCCTTTCTTCCCCCTGAACTGATAGGCGGGGCTGTTCAAAGTACAGGCAGCCACATCACCGGCTGTTTTTGTCTCGGACGTACACAAACACACGGCAATGGGCAATGGGGGATCGCTCTTCACTATAGACGGCACTGACAGAAAACAGAATGATCTTAAGCATGGAGACGCTGGATCGCCAGGGTGACCGTCGACTTGACCGACGACCACCCTGAGAATAACACTGGAGGCCCAGACAACCGCATCTCCCACCCGTCATGCCGCCGAGCACACATCTACATCTCTCTCTCTCCTTCCTATCCCCTTCCCCAGTGCAGGCGCGCTGCTCCTCTTTCCTTCCTCGCAGCCAGTCTGCGGTCCGTTCCTTTCCCGGCCTCGCCCCCTTCGCCCTTCTGCGTGGCCGCCGCCCGTCTGCTTTCGTTCTCTGGTCGCGCTGACTCGCCTCCCTGCCATCTGAGATGCTTTTGTGTGCTCCGTGAACGGCACCAGTCACAGCTACCACCCCCGCTCGATGCGTGCAATTTGTCTCTCTCTTGCCCCGATCCTGCGCTGCGAATCCCTCACCAGGCTCGAGTCTGCTGTCTTCATCCTGCCTCCGGGCCTTGAGGTCCTCTTCTGTGTTGGTCTGCTTGTCTTGCGGGGATGCGACCGGTAAGTGTTCCTCCGTTATTCGTCTTGTCTCTTAGTATGCGGTGCCCATGGCGCACGATTGCAACGGCAATATGCTACATGATTGTCTGTGCCGACTGGACCTATCGTACGTCGGCTCACCGTTTATGTGCCGGCCTTCAGGCATTCTGTAGTGACTTTCGGAAACAAAATGTGCTAGGCGAACAAATAAGCCATTTGCTTAATAGCATCCCTATGCAGAGAAATAACATGCTAGAGGAACGGGCGCAACAAGACGTTATTAGCGCATTTGCTCCATAGTCCCCTGCCGCTAGTCACTAGACAGAATAACACCAGAGCTAACAGACCGGTCCAGGAAACACGTCCTACTGACATCCGAAGGGCTCACATACTTCACTCTTGCGCTGTTGGATCTCCTTGTGCACATTATCCCAGCAATCGGGGACTCTCTCACCGTCTTCAAGCCACTCGACATTCTCATAGGTAGTCCCTCGTCTCGTCTCGCATCTGCTGGCCGCTCGCTCACGCAGCATCAGGCGCCGCCTCTTCGCTCCCGCTTCTCATGTACACGCTCTTCCTGTTCCTCTTCATGACCGCCGAGTTCATCCCCACGCTCCCCGAGCACCTGCACGAGCTCGCCAAGTACGCGCTGCTCTTCTTCATCCCGCTGATAGTCGCGGCGAACGAGCTCGGGTCGTTCGTCGACATCTCCTACCGTGAGCCCCGTTCCCCGCGCTCCCCGCGGCCGCGCGCTGACGTCCGGCCCTTTCCTCACAGGCACCCTCGGCAACGTGCCCGCGGTCGGCTTCGTCGACCAGGCCGTCCACACGGGCTTCGACGTGCTCACGCTCGCGCTCCTCGTGGTCTTCCAGCTGCTCGTCCTCGCCGTCGCCGTGCGCCGCCTCACCAAGGCGCTCGCGTACCGCCGCGAGCTCGACGCCAAGGCCGCGGAGGGCGGTGAGGTCAAGACGCACCTCCTCCGCGGCCTCGCGTGGATCGTCGGCGGCGTCTTCCTCGGCGTCGTCGAGACCGCGATCGGGTTCGCGGGCGGCGCGTTCGCGCTCGCCTTCGCGCGGCGCACGCTGCGACTGCTCGGGCGCGCGGGGCTCATCGTGGGCGTGATCAACGGGTACGCACGCACTCTCCCCGCTGACCTTTTGTCGCGTGTCGTTCACCGCGACGGTCTTCTAGCGTGGACACGGTCGAGGACTTCCGCATCCTCAAGGCCGAGCAGCGTCGCCGGTCGCGGCTGCTCATGCTCATCTCAAACCCGCGCAACAGCACGTTCCGCCAGGTCGGCGGGGCGGCGTTCGACGCGGAGGCGGGCGGGCGGCTTCCCCGCGCGCTGCAACAGCGCATGTCCGCGCTCTCCGACGTCCTCCTGGAGATCCGCACGGTGTCCATCCGCTACTCCGGCACGCCGCCCAGCGTCAGCGGCGTGGGCTCGTCGACCCGGGCGATGGAGAACGGGGGCTCGTCGGGCATGGAGTACTCCCTCGCGGCGTCCGCCGGCTCAGCGGGTCGCGCGTCCGTGAAGCGCCCGCAGCGCGTGACGGTGCATTACGTGCGCGGGCGCGCGCCGATCCTGGAGCTGCGCCGCTTCTCCGACCTGCTCGACCCCCGCTCGCTGCACGTGCTCACGCAGCTCGACCCGTTCTTCGAGGCGCATGCGTTGCGCACCAAGTCGCTGCCGTCCCAGGCTGCGCTGCAGGGCTGGGGCGCCCGCCGCTCGACGCTCAATGCGCCGCAGCCCATCTTCGCAGTCGCGCGCCATGCGGGTGACTCGCTCACGCCGCCGCCGTCTGCTGCCATGTCCACCGCGTCCGCCTCGTCGTCGGCCGTCATCACACCAGTCACGCGTGCACGCCCTGCATACGCACGGCACACGTTCGCAGGGCGCGATTTCGCCTCGAGAGATCCGCGCGAACCCTCGCAGACGACGTCGGACGAGTCGCTGGAGGCGCTCTACGCGCTTACGGTGCAATTCCCCCGTGCGCCCAGGACCGTCAGCGTGCTCCAGCCTTCTGGCGGCAAAGTTCCCTCTGTCTCGCGGGTCCCCACCGACAGCGGCCATACTACGGATAATGCGGCTCCGGACGCAGAATTGGTCCCGGAAGACCCCACGCAGTTCATTGCCGTGGGCGCGGACTCACCTTATGGAACCGACGGAGAGGACGCTGGGCTTGCAGCGGATGAGGTGCCTGAGGACGCGACGATACGTTCCCTCGGTGAGTCGTACGAGAGCACCCTCGTCGAGCATGAGGGCCATGAGGCTGAACTGCTGCTGGAAGACGAGGCTCAGGCTGCCGCCGCACTGCCCACGCCGGTCTCGATGCTCACGCCTGTCGCGCGCCGGGTCGGCAAAGAGAAGTATGTCTCTGCGGCTCCTGGCCCCGCCGTTGATTACGACAGCGACGCTCGGTCGACATCAAGCAGCAAGCATTCGCGCAGGGCAAGGACGATGAGCGCGAAGCTGCAGAAGCCGAGGCATGGCATGGACAGTACGCTCGACTTGCGTTCGCCCCCGTCTGCGTTCGACGATCTTGCGTCTGTGGATTCCCGCGTACCGCGCATTATGAGCGTCGGAAGCGCGCCGCAGCGCTGGACGCCAACACCAACGAGCAGCATGTACAACCGGGACAGCATTGCGGTCGTCCTCGACGAGGCCCCCGTTAGGAGAGCAGGCAGGAGGCTGCGGAAACAGAGCATTCACAAATCACGGAACTCGAGCCCCGCCGAGAGACCGGCCCCTGCTACCATCCCTGCAGACCGTAGTTACTTTGAGGACTGAACCTTTTTGTAGAAAATTATGTATCACCATCGGGATTGATTCTTCGCAGTCTCCCAGAGACACTTGTATGTCCGTACCCCTGTGTATCACTTACTGGTAGTTTCTGGAGAGCTTGCTTAGACGTGCAAGCAGTCATTAGTTGGTTGGCTTGCACGCCTGCTTAGTTCGGAGAGGAGGCATTCCGAGAAATAAACAATAGGTATAATAAGTACGCAGTCCGTGAAGATCAGTTCTGCGTTTTTCGGGGTCAGGCACGTGCACCGTGATTGGGTTGGAGTACTGAAGTACTGACCTCTGGGATACGGAAGACGGTAATTTCCTGCAGAGCGCCAGGTAGTTAGGATCGCCTCTCCGGTGCACGCAGCAAGGCGTACCTGCTGCTTGAAGTATCTTCGGTTCTCCTCGTCGATGAGGACTAGATTGAGGTAGTATCTTACGCTGAACTTCTTGTTCACCTCTCGGAACGTCGGCGTCAGCTCGAAGCCCCCGAGAAACAGGCGGATAGGTATCGTCTCCCCTGCAGGCCGTCAGTGCGCCATTCTATGGCAAACAACATAGGGTAGACGCACCCCGCACAGGCGCGCCATCCATGATCTCGAACTTGGTGATCGTCTCGCTCTCGTTGTACTGGTTCGGTGGTGCACCGGTTGTCTCGCGGCGGATGATGGAGAGCTCCATGTGCTTGATCTTTATTCGCACTAGCAAGAAGTAGATCTTGCCGACGATGACATCCTTGAGATGGTATCTGCGGACGGCGTCATGAGCATAAGAGGATACGCCCGCTTAGTGAGCGCGAAGAACAGTGCAAACGGACTTAGACTTGTTGTATTCAAACTCGATGTGCAGACAGTCCTCGATGCCGACCTCCATCTTGATTGAGTTATTGCTGTCGGGCGGCATGCGGTACGAGTGCACCCATATTTCCCGCTCCTTCGTGACGTCCGCTATTCGTCGCGAGATGGTGACGCGTATGAAGTACCTGTGTGCCGTCAAGCCTCTGGACCGGGACACGAGTAGGCAGAGTAGGATGCGCACCTGAGCTTCACGTTGATGCCCTGATAGCTCTCGTACTGCTTCTCGACGTTCTTGAAGAGAAAGTCGAATGTCTGTGCAGCGCGCATCTCCCCGGGCGCCGCAAGCTCTTGCGATAATGAAAGGAATTCGTGATGGTGGCCGCGGTCGTAGAACAGCTCTGAGCTGCCGTGAGCTCGAAAACAGGCCACGAAGGGGTGCTGCTCACCAATGCTGCCGATGAACTCCACCTTAATACCATCATGCGCGAGTCTCTTCCCATCTCGTACGCGTACAGTCACCTGCATAGAGGTGCTCGTTAAAATATATCAAAACGGCCTCCCCCATAGAACGCGCCTGGCCTGTGACAGCGTCTCCGTCGTAGTAGACTGGACATGACACGATTCGTTCCTTCTCAAGCTTCACGTCGACCTTCTTGCGCTCGTCTTCACCGTCCAACTTGACGTCGACATCCACGGGCGACGAGAAGAAGAATGTCGCCATGTTTGTGCACAGATATGTTTATGATGGTACAGCAGAGCAGGCCGTTGGAAGGGGCTGAACTGGAATAGGGATGGCCTATCCAGTGTGCAATGACATTGGGTACGTATACAAGCGCGGGGTAATAACTCTATGCTGCGTATAGGCGACCGCGGCAATGTCCGATGCACTGTTGGGTGCCTGGATGCCCTCCCATAATCCGGATAGAATCCGTCCTCGACAAAATTTATCCATGTACAGCACATGTACAGCACATGAACATGAGCTCCGGGAAATTTCTGGCGTATATAAAGCAAGGTCTATCGGCAAGTCTACCATCACCGGTCTACCATCGTAGACAAAATACTCCTCAAGACCGCGGGTATATCGGCGGTGTTGGCAACGCGGAATCCCCGACCTTGCAGCTTCTGCGGTATCCTGAATCCCAGCAATACATGTCACACTAGATACTCAAGCGGTGCGACGAAAGACTCACCACTGGACCTCCGCTCCCTCACCTATGCATATCAGCGCAGTATTGACCTTGGGGTGGCGGGTCATGACCTTGTGGAGTTCCTCCGCAGTGATTGCGTATCGCGAAAAGTTGGCGTCCGTAATGGTGATCACAAACCAATCGTCTGTCGCTGCCATCAGTGTACGTTCAAAACGACTTGAGGGGCCGACCAACCTGCGTCGAACTTCGCTACTTCGTCCACCGCCTTCTCAATTGCTTCCACTAGGAGCGTTGAGGCGCGTCAGTGACCGTGCCTGCGTAGCGTCCGTGCACACACACCTGTGTAATCGCCAGCGAACGCATACTGCGAGACAAGCTCCATTTTCTCTACCACTTTGTAGCGATCCCTGAGCTCGGTTGGTGGCTTGTCCAACTCAATGAGAGAGATCACCGGAGAGTCCCCAGACTGTAACAACTATCAGCTCTGGCCAAGGTGACCACACCAGCAGGGTGCTTACGTGCCCGTACATCTATGTTAACGAGAATGAGCTAGGTCGACTTCCGATATACGCGACCACTTACATCCCAGAGATATTTATCTTTCCGTGTCAGACGATTGAAAGTCTCCATAATCATCACCGCTATGTCCCCCAAATGAGTTTTTGCAAGACTGGAAACAGCCAGACCTACCGGTCTCCATGCTCCTCTGCAAGCGGCCATCGTACTGGAACCGGTACCTACGTCCCTAGATTCAGCACTCAGCTTGCCCTCCCGAGATGTACAAACGTACATGGAACCGCTGATGTCGAAGACAAAACGTATGCGTTTTGGTCTAGAATATGTTAGCGACTCCATTTCAGATCCAAGGACGATTATTCACTTAATCTGGGGACGTCCAAGTTCTGGCTTTGCCATGCCGCGTCGCTTGTAGACCGTCGCCTCGCCCGTCAAGCCATCGGCCAGACGACTGTCATCCAGCTCGCCGTCTGTCTGCCGCTTGACCCAAACACGCTCCTCTTCCTTCGCTGAGAGGTCTGGAAACACAGTTGGTCAGTCCTGATAGAGGTTGCGCCGCACGGAAATTACACACTCTCGAGGAGATCGTGCAGCTGCGCGATGTGTGCCTGCACGGCGGTCAGCAGGCTGCCGTATCCCTTGGCCTCGCCCGCGCTCATGTCCAGTTCTTCCAGCCTGCGCGCTAACTCTTCACGCGCCATCTTGCGGGCCTGCTCTTTAACGTGTTCCGGCACCTGATTTTTCAGCTCATCCGACACCTGGCTTCGACGTCAAGCCGCCGTTGTCAATGTGAGCATGTGGAATCCTTGCCTGGTGAATATCATGGCCCGCAAAGAGGCGCATATAGCCACCACGCCCGCCCAATCCAGCAGTATCACGACCGCCTGTCTGTCCGAAAAGCAATAGACTTGAGACATTTATCAATCGATGTGCAATGGAAAGACGTACTCCTCCTGCCCATGTGTTACCACCCGTGTGCGGCTGGTTGTTTGGGTCCACCTTTCCATACTTCGGCTGCGAGAGCGTGGTGTCCTTCGGAGAGAACTTAATATCGAGCACTTTCTTGCGCGAAGCCTCTCTAGCGGCCACCAAGCCTAGATGCTTGACAGCTAGTCTGTAGATAAGACTGTCAGCAAAGTCACAGTAATCTCTCTGTGAGACCAACCCATGATGGTCCAGAATTTCAGCGAGCTTCTCGATGGTCTCTGGCTTGTACACGTCAAAGTCGAAGACGTTGCGCAATGTTGCTTCCAAAGTGTCAGATGGATACGTCTTCATATGCCGCACGATGTTGATAAGCTCTGGCAAACGTTGAGACCGCTGTTCAACTTCCGCCAACGCTCGTCCCGTACATACCTCGCAGCGAGTAAGGATATGTCAGAGAGCCGCTGTCGTAGGCACGGCGCAAGTCCTGGAAGGCAGCCACGAGACGCAGGATCATATCCTCGCTGAGTTCTGGAGCCAGCTGCGACAGGAGTCTCCTCTCGCTGTTCATGTCGGGGTTCACGACGGCGTGACAACTGAAACTGTCGCCGAGAACCTGCAGAAAGTGGTTGCCCAAGAACGCTGCCGTCATTGTGTTCACCCATTGCATTACAGTCGAAGAGTGGAAGAATGCTCACGATACCCGGGCCGATTTGCCAGGAGAATGAGGCGGAAATTGGGGTGCACGACAACGTCAGTGTCACGCTCTCTTTCTCGACGTACGCGACGTCCGTCAGCCAGTGTGAGCTGTCCGTGGCCGGCGAGGCTCCTGAAAATTGCGACGACATGCTCTGCAGCTTTATCTGCCTCGTCGACGACCATGACACGGCCGTGCGAGATCGCGCGCAACAGAGGTGAGTCTGTGTACTTGAGTGTGCCATTCTCCAGGACTGTCTGGAACATAAGCTGGTTGACGGTAGTGTCACGGTGAAGTTGGATATATTCTCGAGGACGGCCCAGGAGCTGCATGGGCGTGAGTCAAAGTGGGATCGCATGCTCTAGTATGCCTTACCTGACACAATCTATGCATACACGTTGTGAGCTTCATTGCAAAGCTGGACAAAAAGGACTTACCTGTCAATGATCTTGTTCTTTCCTACTCCCTATGTTCCCGCCATCAGTACCCCTCGTATAGAGCATATCATGTCTATCATACCTGATTTCCCAAGAGCACTAGATGCTCGCCAAGAATCTCAAAATCGACGGCTAGGTCACGCATGAGACCGGTCTGTAAACTGTTGTCATAGAAATGATCCATGTGCGGTACGTATGACGCTGCGCCTTCCGGGTCCTGTATGCGGTCGAACGCAGGGATGAATGTGGACCCCTGGCCCTGTCGTGAAGGATCGCTCGGCTCCGGGAATAGTATACCGTCCTGCTGAACGACTAGCGGTGGATTAAACTGGACAGTCACACGGTTGAGAATGAACACAGGCATCCAAACAAAACGCATACCGGAGGGGTGCGCCTCTGGATTCCTGCTTCCTCAAACAGCTCGTCGAGGTTCATCGTTTCCGTGGGCGGCAAGAACTCCGCCAGCACCGCGCGGCTGATCATCGCGTGCAAGTCGTCGTCACCGGGGAAGCGTGCGACGCGCCGCGCAATCCTCAGCAGCGCACGCGTGCCGAGCTTGCGGTTCTTCTGCACCGAATCCACGCTCATGCCCGCGCGGTATTTCTCCGCGAACACTAGCAGCGCGTCGACGACGCCCGGCGCACAGCCAGTCTGCAGGAGCACGGCACGCTCCTCGGCGTGCCCCATGGGCTGCGCGGCGATGGGGAAGAACATGTTGGCCTGCTCGTCCGATAGCCAGTCTTTGAGGAGAACCGACTTGGACGCGGTGCTGATTATGCGGAAGGACGGGCGGGCGATGGTGAGGTCGCCTGGGGCCAGCTATGACGGACTGAGCCGGCGTGCACGACTCGTAGTAGATGGACACACCTCTTCTTGCGAAGCTTGGCGGACAATGCGCTTGTCCTCCCATAACTCGACCTCCCGATCTTGCATCAGCCTGGCGAGCGAGCCTGCTGTGGACCCAATGATATCTATGCCGTCCAGATGCACAAGTCGTCCAGACCAGACCGCCTCGACCAGAGGGCTGAAAAGCGACACAACATGATCCTCGGACGCCCCGGACACGGAAAGCATGCGCTCCTACCTTGGCTCCCATGTCGTAGCGCCGCCATCTTCGATCTTCCGCCGCATAATCAGCTCCCGCCCGCCGAGCTCCTTGTACATGTGGTAGTCCTCTGTCTCGTATCCCAGCACCGCGCCGAACGTCCGTACCAGCAGCGACGTGGAGCAGGACGCCGTCGATGGCAACGCCGGCGGGACGTACAAGATGTCCCACCCAAGCGCATGCGCCTGCAGCAGCGACGTCAGGAGGCCCATAAACCTTCCCGTTGCAAAGAAGCCCAGCTGTTCGGGTGCAGCAAAGGGGAACTGGAGCAGCGGCCGCGGACCCGCGGGCACGTCAACGGACACGCGCGCCCCGTCTATACCCACGAACTCGGCCTTCGCTGCGTGTTCGTTCACTCTGCGAACGCTGTCCAGCTTGTACCCCAGTAGTCCAAGCTCGTCGCCGCTGCCGCTGAGTGACGGGCTGCCGAGCGGGCCAAGCCCTGCATCCTCGCACTGCTGCGAGAGCGTTGCCCATGCTACGAATGGTGCATGAATCAGCCCCGGGTGGATCGTCAGCACTAGCCGCGCGAGCTGTGCCGGTGCCAGCTTCCCGCTCGCCGGAGGGGGAAACACACTGAGCAGCGCGTAAAGTTTCGTGAGGGCAGTCTGTGGGAACGCGGGGAGCGCAGACTTGGCGACTGCATCAAGCGTGGTGCGCGTCTCGCTCGCGTACTGCGTCGCGACGATCATCTCGCGCAGGCGGTCATACAGTGCAGCGGATGGAGCGGGTGAGGATGGAGGAGGAAGTGCGAGCAGGGCCCCGACGGGATCGACAAAGCGTGCTTGGAAGCGGCTGCGAAATGGTGGATCTAGTGGGTAGCCAGGATACGGTGGGACGGGCGCTGCAATCGCGATGACGCGGAAGTTCTTGTGTGCGGGGAGAAAACGCTTGCCGGTGATTGCGTCGCTCGTTGAATCGAGGAGTGCATGCCGGTGTGGGTGGATGATGTGCGTGCCGTCATCGAGGTTCCTGGGGCAAACAATAAGCAGAAAGTATGTATGAGAGCGGATCCGCGTACATCTCTCGATTTTCTAAGAGGTTGTTTAGAACCTATTGTGATAGTTAGGATTAGAGGTACTGCAGCAGACGATGGACGTACCGGCATAATTCCTCGCTCTGCTTTCTCTATGCCTTCTATAATGAGGATTCGACCATGCTTTACAGCACGGACTGCAGCGCTATCTACGTATACCAGGTTGCCGCCCCGGCGGATTTCTCGTCCTTGCTTGAGCTCTGTTTCTCCGATGTCTCGATGTAGCGCAATGTACTCGTATTCCGAGTTGAGCAAGCTAGAATGACATTAGCACCATGTCCGTATCAAAATATACACACTCACCTGCAGAATGTGAAGGCCAATCGACGTGCATACGGCCCCGGCTGCGACAAGAGAAATATGTCTTGGCCGAGAAGGAACTTTTGCAGCATGAAGTGGAGGTTGTCTAATGTGAAGGGATCTTTGAGATCTAAAGTGACATCCTGGCAATGCGGTAACCTCGAGGGTGTCTGTGAACATGGCACTTCGTACGAAATGCCCCCAAGTTCTAGTGTACCGACAGGTGCATCCGTCGGTGATGCCAGCCCGTTGATAATGTGACTGAGACGCCGTTGAGCCATGGTGCGGAAGGCGCGTCGATGTGCACTCCCACTTAGTGTTACTACAAGACAACATTGAGTCTGATCACGAGAGGTCGAAGAATGAACGTACAGCGCAACTTCGAGGAGTTCAGATGTGAGCCCGGTAGGGTACTTCGGAGCTGCCCTTCGAGAACCCACCGTGTAATTAACCACATACAACTTACTGAACCGTGGAGCGCTTCAGCTCATCCCGATATCACAAGCCTTTTGCGCACAGGACAGACGGAACCGTTCAAGCGAATGTCAGTGACGCAAGGCAATCGGTACGGCCTGCCATGTCAGTATTGCCCCACATGATGCATTCATCCCCGAGTTTGTCGGGCAACCGGCTGAAAGTTGCATCCGAACAACCGGCATTGGGGTATTATTGATATTATTTAGGGCAGAACTTGTAGACCTAACCCTAAGGACGGCAGAACGATCCAGCCAACGAAAAAAAAATGACTATGTAGACTCAGGACTAAACACTTGACATCACATTTTATTGAGGATACAATACTCAAAAATGACCATAAGCAAACCCTGTCTCCGGGTGCACCGTGCATTCGGCCACTGGCGTCACAAGATCATTCTTCAGACAATGACACGACCGTGCTGCGAAGAGATATGAGGCACGAGAACACTATCCATAAGATCATTTTGCACTTGTCACTTGGACTTGCGACGAATTCTGTTGTGAGAACATTGAATTCCATGGTCCTACGAGCTGGAGCACGTCTGAAACGGCCATTGGGTCACTCAGCCACCGCTGCGCGCGTCAGTCACGTGACCGTTTTCTTGAATAAGGTTTGCGTGTCCCACGTCGATCTAAAGGTTGCTGATTCTTCATGACGATGCATGTGTTTTGTCTCCGCATCCACAATCTGCGCAAGGACAATCATCAACTTTCGGACGTTCACTCGAATAAACAGACGGTCGAGAATCTCGCCGAGATTCTGGATCATCACGGATCGGTCTCATCGTGACTGCTCTGACAGTCTCATTTGCAGACGACCTGTCAAGCATCTAGGCTTGGCTGTCTGTCGCCAGGTGCCCATATCAAATACCATCTTGACCATGTTCTCGCAGCCCAAAGGTGGACCAAAAGAACCAACAAAAGGTAGCAATTGAGCAGGATGAGTACGTCTTGCCATTGCGTAATAATGAGTGATTGCCTGCCATCTATTCCACTAGACAGACTGGCAGGTGGTCGTGATACTGCGATCATGCGCTACATCCATCTCTTTGCATGCCATGATATACGCCTGTAAAGGATTCCCCATGCTCGCGTTGACAACGGTGGCTTGACATAGAAGCTAGGTGTTGGACGAGTCTAAGGAGCAGGTGTCAGAGCACATTAAAGAGTAGGCCCTCAAGATGGCGCGCGAAGAGCTATATACTACCCGCAGGCTCCAGGAACTGGACACGAGCGCGGGCGAGGCCAAGGGATACAGAAACCTGCTGACCGCCGTGCAGGCACTCATCGCGCAGCCGCACGATCTCCTCGAGAGTGTGCAGCCTCCGTGGCATCGACATAAAAGTAGTGATAGAAGCCTTTCATTGCTCGAATCAACATTTGCCGTGGACGCCCGCAGTAATGGGTATCATGAGTACGCAATTGAGACATTTCTCTAGATGCTCATTCACGGGACATCAAAGCCTCGACTTTTCCATTCCACGCCACTTGCAGAGCATGGCCTTGCATGTCAAGTCCTCAGTCAGATGACTGTCATTCAGCTCTCCGTCTGTCTGCCACTCAACCCAAATGCGCTCCTCTTCCCTCCCTGAGAGGTCTGGAAACACAATTGGTCAGTTCTGCAGCCTCTATCTGACCTCGGGACGCACAACGTGGCATCAACTTCCTCAATATACGGCAGTTGTCGCTTCTTGACATCCAGCATCATGTTGTCGCCAAACGCCGGTGAGCTTTCTTTTGGCAGTATAGCCTCTTCTACTCCGTCTGACAGTAAAATGTTCAATGTTCGATGACACGATAAGCACATTTCGGGTAATAGACTGTCAGTGGATCTCACCATGCGGCATCGGACACTGCATATCACCTACACCTGGTGAGCGTGTTTCAGTAATACCGTATCTCTTCGCTCAGTATCAGGCTCTTATTTTCCTTGACACGTATTACCCTCCATTCATCCTCTCTATTGCGTGTCTCCTCATCTGGATGAGTCATGCACAGGGTGGCGCCTTCTCTCAAACAGAGGATGGATATAAATGCATGCCTTGGACTGTAGGGGGCAGCAGTATCCATCACCTTTTTAACCCACACAGCAACCCCTTTATCGCACACAATGTCTGGTAACAACAGTGGTACCAACCATGGCGGAAACACAGGAAATTCGGGAACGCACTGCGGCGGCGGTAACAACAGCGTCAACGTTGCCAATCAAAGTGGCGGCAGTATTGGTGGCAGTATCGACGGTAATGGAGGTATTGGCGGCGGTATCAGTGGTAATGGCAATAGCGGTGGTAACAGTCAAAACAGCGGCGACAACACCATTTCCATGTGTGAGTCTTCGTTACATCATTGACTATCTTTCTGGAAGCTTCAGACACCCAAATACTGATGATTATTTATGCACAGAATACATGCATTGTCGCGAAGTAGATTCCGACTGAAGCTGTCCCATGCTCTGTGTACAAAGTCTGTGTTTATGCCAATGGTGGTTTTATATTGATGCTCATGTTCCTTCATAGTATCGCATGTTGTCAAGGTTGATCGTGCATTGCCCTTAGTTGTATTCGGATAAAGGCGCTGTTTGGTTATGCTCCTGTGAATTCTTGTAACCTCAATAAACGATTCTGCCGAGTGTGAGCAACCTGTACCCATCTGTTCTTGGCTCGCCGAGCCATGTGTTCATTGTTGTAACGTCTATTCATTGGCTACCAACCCCCCCCCCCCCCCTGCAACATGACTGTTAGGTCAATAGGACTCAATCTGGGCAGGAGTATCAGTAAAGCTCAAATGATAGCCCTCAAGACTCGAGTATGTATACATATGGTGGATCTGTTAGCGTATGGCCTCTATGGCATTCCCGATAGAGGAGTGCACGCGTATTCTCCTTTCGTCTTGTCCCCCTTCGTGCACACGCTCACCATGCCTCGTGTCTGTCACGTTGTGCAGCGCATTCGGAGGTTGTGGGAATGCGCTGGGTCAATGCGAAACGGACGATCTCGATCGCATTAAAGCCATTGGCCTCTTGCCAATACGCTTTGAACGCGCTTCGGCACGTCACGAGCTCTTTCGTCGTCGCCACATTCCCCTCTTTCTTTCTGACCTCGCTTAGCCCGTCTCGACGTATATATACTCATTGCGAGGATACGAAGGCCTCAGCCGTCTCACGCATCGCTCGCAGGTACGTTCTTGACTTACTGTGTCTATATACAGCCATATCATGCATCGCTCGCAGCGTTGCTCGCAGTACGGACTCGCATTTTCTTTCCCCCCCACCTCCCTTACACATGGGCATTCTACATCTTCGGTTCTGACTTCTTTTGTCTTACGAGTTTCTATGTCTTGTAGTAGCCTAATGTTGCCTTGAGGCTGTCACCGCAAGAGGCGCGAATAGAGCACGCCCGCACCCCCTTGCGTGGTCCTCTCAACTCATATTCGGGTCCCACGCCGTCTTGTCACCGCCGCTAATTGCTCCCGTTCCTCGTCGCGACAAGGCATTGAAGGTCCGCGTTCTACGTCATTTACATAGATGACTGCCATTGACCGCAGAGTTCCCGTGTTCAGATCCCCAGAGCTGAGAGCTTGCCACCTCAGGCGTTGCGTACCCGGCGGCAAGCAATGCCGAGCGCTCGCTAAAGTTACTATTCACTGACTATTGGTATTTCGAGTGCTTAAATGACATTGACACGGGCTCAGTACGCGAAAGCGGCATGAGAGCAAGGAGCGGGCTTGTGGTCAGCGTGTTCCTGAAAGCAGATTTCCTCAAATCGCTGGGGCGCTGCACAATGCGAGCCCGGCTCCGAGCTGTAGCCTTGGACTGTCAGCGGAGGTTCCTGGCGCCGACGATATCGGGAGAAAGCAAGCTCAAGAAGGTGCGCGTGTTACCATATGTTACCGTCCTATACACATGCCTGTTTATATTCGCTTCTTCTCATGTTTTCTCAACTCGCCCCGGGACGGCTCCCTTCAATTTTCAGCCGAATATATCTCCCCGTCACAGCCCTTCTTTGCGTGGAAACACCATTCAATGACTTACGTCAATATCTGAGAACGTCAAGTACCTATCTTGTTGAGTACATCTAGTAGCAAGCATGAAATCCTACGACTTGGCGCCTGCCTTCGAGTATAAATAATGGCCTTCTTTGCAAACTTCTACCCATTTATTTCTATCTCAAGTGCTACACAATGACATCCACGGATTCTAACCCTCCCGACACAGATAATCAGCTTTTTGACGATGACCCCTCCGACGTTGGCCAGTGGTCCGACGACGACAATGAAGGGCCCGACGCCCACGATGACAGCGACCTCGACAGTGGATTCAACAGTATGGCTTCTGATGACGACGGCGACACCGATGACGGGAACCATTTTGGCGATGGGTACGACGACACAGAGAGCGGGAGTACCTTGGGCGATGGAAACGACGACAACGCCACAGTCTTCAGCGACGGCACTGATGTGGACCAGCTAAGCAAAGGATCCTCTATAGTGAGCCTCGCCGCGGCGGCACCCGTGCGCCGCCTTATGGCTCGGCCGCAAACCCACGGCGGACAGCGTATGTGTGCTGTAAGTTTTCTCCATGACTACATGCACACGATACTTGATTAATATTATTGATTATAAGGTGTGCGGTAAGAAGCCGGCATCCAATCAAGGAGGGAAGAGCTACCCTACGTGCGGCCTTACTTGTGCTGCGAAATACAAGATCGCCGCGGTGGCCGGCCACGGCAGTGGCAGAGGGGGAGGCTCTACTCTGACCTGTGTCGTGAGTGTCAGGCATCTCCGATAGTACGACTATGCAGAACTGACGGCGTTGCCCATGGCCTGTCTAGATATGTCAACGTCGCCCGTGTTATCGTAGGGGCTCTATCGTGTATCTTACCTGTGGTATGACGTGCCTCACCGCTCTATGTTCTGGCGGAGGCGACCGCACGAAATGCAACGTGAGAATCCAGTATGCGACATTTCCCTTGCGTATTTCATCAACTCTATGTCAGTACTGCCACCGCCGGCCGAAGCTGAACCCTCACAATCAGTGCGGGCGGAGGTGCCGCGACCGCTCGCGCGTCGCCTGCCTGATGTGCCGCTGCCGCCCGAAGCTCAGGAATTATCACTTCTGCGGGCGGACGTGCAAGAAAGTGGCCATGAAGACGACGCCGAAGATCATAGAAATTCCTCAGGGCCACGTCACATGGAAGCAGGGTGCGCACTTCTGTCTACTGCGCGCGATTAACGTGGGTGAACTGATGTCTTGATCCCTTCAATTTCTATCACATAGTTGAGACGAAGTTCAACAAGTCCTGGAGGCCACCCAACAAGGTCATCAAACCAACAATAAAGCACATCTACAAGATCGTTGAGAGCGCGATGTTCCTTAACCCATACGATACTTACCGGTGCGTGCTGATGCCACTCCATGAAACCTTCCGGGGTGCACCTAGTATCCTCCTGACACTGGTGTAGGAAGAGAATTGGCAATGAATGCTTCCGCTATCATGGGACGACGCGCCTGTGTCAGCTGGGAAACACGGGCCAGACGACCCTCTGCAATCTGCCCAAATGCGCAGTGTGTAATATCCTGAGGACGTCGTTCAACGTGAAGCTTGCGGATCCGAGCGGCGCGTATGTGCTAATCAAGTTCATCATCGTGTATATGACATTGCTTACTCGGACCTCTCTTGCCCTTTCGGACAGGTTCGGAGCTGGTATATACACATCCTCCGCATCGAACAAGTTTGTGCATAGCTTTATATTGCCGGCGTCGATTCTCATGGATGGTCTGGGTACAGGGCATACAGTTACAGCGCAAACGGCAGCGGCGTCATGCTCCTCAATAAAGTCGTTCTCGGCCGCCGCTATAATGCGACTGCCTTCAAACAGGTCATAGCCCTTCCTTCGGGCTACGATTCCGTACGTCTATCTGACTCTGTGGGTGGCGAATGAGGTGCTCACTGCGTGGCTCTGTGGCATGATGGCAGGTCGTCTTTGATAGGATGAACGGCCAGCTGAACGAGACGATCGTTTACGCGAACGATGCGATCAGGCCGGTGTACTTGATTATATTCTGAGGTGCTTGAAGCACAGGGTCACTTTCATGCTTTGTCTGTTCCCGTGATGATTAATATGAGAACCATGCCCAATTATGCTTTGAGCAACGACTTGTTAAAGTTCATCTGAGACCAGTAGCGAGAATGATCAGCAAAGGCTGTTGAAGCACGCATTCAGGAACGAGCTTGCAAGCTTGGGTGCGCGAGTAGCCGGGGGCTGGAGGCCCCTATCGTAGTATATAATGACCATGTGTGATGTATGTATGCTACGCGATTGTCCCTTATGGGCATCACTATGCCCGTGGACAAACACACCCCACACCATTGACACTGGTGTTACAATAAGGCATATCACATTTTTTTCAGCTCTGTCAAATGTGTAAGGAACATACAGAGCAGCTCAGGTATCACAAAACCTACAAACCCACCTTATAGCTTGATAGTGAGGGGGGGAGATAGTAGCACTTAAGTATGGGGAGGTAATGTTGTTAAGCGCAACAATGAAGTGAATAAAACTGGGGGACAGGGTGCCCTAGGATGCTGCTTTATATACATGAGGGAAAACCCCCCAGGGACCGGTAATGGACCCCTTTTTTATTTTTTATTTTTATATCCATTTCTATATCCACTTGAGGGCTTTGCCCTATGCCGGATAATACCTGTGAGTACACTTTGTAGTGTGGGAGGTAGTATTGATGGGCTGTCCAGTAGCATGGAGTAAGTGGAGCGCGAGCGATCTATCTAACGTGTATCGACATGGGGGATGGGTGAGGACATCTCTCGAGTTCAGCTTGTCAAAGGGGCTGGGTGAGGGCATAGTAAAAGGCATAGGCACAGGGTGAGGTAAGAGTAATAGTATGTAGGTAGTAGATTAAGAAATGTACAGTAATAATCAGTATATGATGAGGGATGTGTTCGTGCAAGGAGTAGTGGGAGTGCGTGGAGTGGTCGTTCCTCACGGGAAGACTGTCATACCTCGACTTTGAGTCAGTGGGGATCTAGGCGGTTGTTCCGTCCGGCCGCAAAGTGGCCAATCACTTTGATGTAGTCAAAGAGATGCGTGAGAGCGTCGGGGTCATTGAGCAATGTGCGTAGTTGTCGCGACTTAGGGTCGAGCGACAGGGGAAAACCAAACGCTGGGGGCGTTCGACTTATCTTACCGAAGCGATGGTGAGCTAGGCTCAAACCTAAGGCTAGGGACAAGAATGTATTAGTTAGTAAGTAAAAGAAGTAAGTACAGGAGAGCTTACTGACCTAGGGACAAGAGGTCGAAACTGAGGTCCCTAGGGCAGCAGAGGCCAGTTTATATACATGGGAAGATTTAGGGCAGGCTGTGCGCGTTGGTCCGTGCGCAGCTGGTCTGTGCGCAGCATGCCGACGCGGCCCCGGGGGCCGGTGAGTCAGAGCGGCTGTGTCAGCGGAGCCCGAGCTGTGCCGTGCACTGCCGTCCTATCTAATCTAATCGTACAGTAGATAACAATGCGTCCATATCAGGCAGGTAGTACAGAGGTCGCGGGTTCGAGCCCGTGAAAAGGAAAAAATTAAAAAACAGCTAGGCGCCGTACCAACTCGTGACATTACCCCCCCCTCAACGGCGCATGACCTCATGCGAGGTGCCCTTGCCCATCTCCCACCCGGAGCGGCAGCGTGCTTCAGTCAGCGGCGCAGGCATTGGCTGAAAGTTGAGACCACCAAAGGTAGCAGCGTTGAGGCGGCGAGGGGCGTTCGGATTCTTCCGGTGGAAGTCGGCTATGAGGGCCGGCGCGTTGGCAACATTGCGCGCCGGTTCCCATGACGTATGCGAGTCGTCATAACCCTTCCACTTGACGAGGTACTGCAGCTGACGCCGGAAGATCCTCGAATCCTTGATCCGCTCAACCTCGTACTCCTCGTCGCCCTCAACCTCGATCGCAGGCGGCTCCTCCGGCTCCCGGCCCGGGATATCGCTACGCGTGTACTTGCTCAGCAAGGAGACATGGAACACCGGATGCACCGGCACCGACTTCGGCAGGACTAATTCATAATCCAAGTCTCTGAGCTTTCGCCGCACGGCATATGGCCCGAGGCGCTTGGGACTGAGCTTCTTGCTCGGCTGTTTCAGCTTAAGGTTCCGAGCGTCAAGCCAGACCTTGTCCCCCGGCGCGAAGACCGGTGCCTCCTGCACGTGTTTGTCGTAGTACACCTTCATGCGCTCGGCCGACAGCTCAAGCGCAGAGCGCGTATCGTCGCGAATCTCTTTCAGGATCTTGAGCCGATCAGCGGCCGCAGGCATCGCAGACATCGGATTGATCCGCACTTGGATCTCCGGATTGTACCCTTGATGCAGGAAGAATGGGGAGTGCCCAGTCGCGGAGTGAACTCGGTTATTTAGTGCAAACTCCGCGAGCGGCAATTGTCTTGCCCAATCATCCTGCCTGTGGCTTGTGAAAGCACGCAGGTACTGCTCGATCTCCTGATTCCAGCGCTCAGTCTGGCCGTCTGTCTGAGGGTGGAACGCTGTGGACAGCGCCGGCTCGATTCCCAGTCCTTTGTACACCGCATGGAGATATCTCGAAGCGAACTGGGGACCTCGGTCTGATATGACCTTGGCCGGGGCCCCATGATGCTTGAACACATCGCGGATGTACAGATCTGCCGCACCTTCTGCCGTCAGGGTCTCATGACAGGCTGAAAAGTGGACCTGCTTTGTGAAGCGGTCGGCGGTGACCAGGATCGAATCGAACCCATCAGACTTCGGCAAGCCGACGATCATATCGGTCGTGATGATCTGCCACGGGCGCTCGGGGATCTCATTCGGCTTCAGCGGACCCTGGGGCTTGGCTGGGAATGTCTTGGTACGGTTGCACACGTCACAAGTGCTTACGTACTCATTGACAAATTTGGACATTCCCGGCCACCAGTAGTTTCGCGATACGAGCTCAAGGGTTTTGGCACGACCGCCATGACCAGCGATCGGCGAGTCGTGGTGGATCTTGACTATATCCCGCCGAAGCTCTGCGTTCTTTGGGACGTACACACACCCGCGGAACAGCAGAAGCCCTTGTTCGGCATTCCACTCCTCAAAACCCCTTTGCAGCCGGGGCGGCCCGAGGTCCTGCACCTTTTCAAGTGCCTCGGCCACCTCCCGATCCTTCTCCGAACATTCCCTGATGCGCTTCAGAAGCGACTGATCAGCTGTCACTGAGGCATGACCGCGCCTGGCGGAGGCGATGCGGAAGCGCTCTGGCTTGAGAACTACCTGATCGGTGTTATCGTCCTCATCACCGATCTGATGGTCTGATCGGCGCGATAGGACATCGGCCTTTCCGTTCGATGTTCCGGCCTTGTGTGTGATGCGGAAGTCGAAGCGGGCCAGGAATAGCGACCATCGCGCTTGACGGCGCGTGAGATGCTGGGATGTACGCCAGTACTCGAGGTTTTTATGATCGGTCACGATCTCGAACTGATTGGGTAACCCCTCAAGGTAGTGGCGCCAATCGTCTAGCGCTTCAATGATCGCGAGCATCTCCTTGTCGTAGATCTCGTAGTTCCGCTGTGCCGGATCCATTGCATGGGATCTGAAGGCAATGGGATGCCATTTGCCGTCATCCTGCTTCTGCATCAACACGCCGCCAGTGGCGTACCCCGAGGCATCAACCTCAATGCGCGTTTCCCGATTAGGGTCGTACAGCGCCAAGACTGGAGTCGTCGCGAAGAGCCGCTTGAGCTCATCAAAAGCGTGCTGCTCCTCTTCACCCCAATGCCATGGGTCATTCCCTGTGAGTCGGTCGAGTGGTCGCGAGATCTTAGCGAAGTCCTTAATGAAGCGGCGGTAGAAATTGGAGAACCCCCGGAACTTCTGAACGTCTTTTTTGTTCCGGGGCACCGGCCACTCATTGATTCCTTTCAGCTTCGCGGGATCCATCGCCACCTCATCGCCACCGAACACATAGCCGACGTAGTCGACTTTGGGAACATCCCATTCGCACTTCTCAGGCTTCAGGAACAGATCATTGTCCTGAAGGCGGCGCAGAACCTCGCGTGTGACCTTTTCATGCTCCTCCTTGTTGGTGGAGAAGATGAGTATATCGTCTAGGTACACAAGGATTTTGCCGCCGACGATGAGATCATGGAAGATCTCATTCATCATCGCCTGGAAGGTCGCGGGGGAGTTGGTGAGACCGAAGAACATCACCAAGGGCTCGTACAACCCTCGGTTAGCCACAAACGCCGCCTTCCACTCGTCACCGGCTTTGATCCGGACGTTGTTGTATCCCCATCGGACATCGAACTTCGTAAAGAGCGTAGCGCCGCGGAGTTTATCCACCATTTCGGCGATCAACGGCAAGGGGTAACGATTCTTGACCGTGATTGCATTCAATCGGCGGTAGTCCTGCACGGGTCGAAGAGTCCCTTCCTTCTTTTTGATGAAGAAGAAAGGCGACGAAATGGGCGACTTCGATTCCCGTATGTAACCTTTCGCTAACTGCTCCTTCAGGAACTTGTCAAGTTCTTCCTGTTCATTGTTCGACAGGGGGTACACTTTCGAGTGGAACGTCGAGTAGCCGGGCACGAGTTCGATTGCGTGATCGTAAGGCTTCCTTTCGGGTAGCCGTTCTGATGCTTCCTTGGAGAAGACATTCAGGAACTCGTGGTACTGCTTGGGCACCGACTCCTCGGCGGTCTTAACGACCTTCTTTTTGATCTCTTCCTCCGCGAACAGCTGGGAGTATGTATGTCCTG